CAGAACGGGACCACTTCTACTCCAGTGCCCAGGGTCCCAGGTGGAGATCGTGAAGAACTTGTGCAGAAGGCCAAGTACAGTGCTTTGCTTGTGGTGAAGGTCTGGAGAACGAGCACTAGTTGTGGTAGGTCGCCCCCGTTCCTGCCCTCAGTGACAGATGGGATGGGACTCCCGCGGCTCACCGCCTCACCTTGGGTCTGGCTGCTTCCTCCGTCCCAAATGCCTCCCTTCCTGTCTCAAAAGGGCAAACCCTCTTTCCAGATAAAAATGAACACATCCTTTACGACCCCCTTCTCCCTGAACACAGAGGACCTCTCTTTTGCCCTGGAAGCAATGCTTGTCCCATTACCATGGAGACACATTTTAGGATGTGACTTATGCCTGTTTTCCAGATGACAGCGAGGCTGGGAGAGGTCGTCAGAGCCCCACAGCCAGTGAGAGGCTGGGCTTGGTGCCCAGGTCTGTGTGACCCCACCGCTGCCAGCTGTCTGTGAGGCCATCAGGAGGGTTATTAGTATTAGAGGTAATTTTACTGATGAGAAAAGAAGGTTCAGGGAGTTGGAAACTTGTCCAGAGTCACTCAGCTGACCCGAACTAGATTTTGATGCCAAGTTCAGGGTCTTACCCCACCTGCCTGAACACCGGGCCCTGGCGGACTCCTGAGTGTGGTCTGCAGTACAGCGCAAAGTAGTCAGGAATCCTACATTCTACCCTGGGCGCCCCAGACCCGCTGAATCAGCATCTCCCTGGTGACTCGTAGACATGTGGATGTTTGGGAAGCTCAGGTTTTGATTTCCTCTGGAGGCTTCTTTGGGGTCAGAGCGGTGGGTCACACCTTCCATGGGGTTTCTCCTGCCATCACTGAGTGTTCTGTCTGGCTCTCTTGGTGAAGGGTCTGAAAAATGACACAGATTCCATCCTGGTCTCCCCAAGTCTCTGAGTCTCCTTAGGGCTCAGAGACCACGCAACTGTCACAGGCAGGGAAAACCGCGTAAGGAATGTGGCTGCTGGTCCCAGGCTCGGGGAGAGGCTGGGTTGAAGTGCGTGGTGGAAGCTCAGGACATGGTGGGGGCTCAGGCAAAGGAGCCAAAAACCCGGGGCTGAGGGTAAAGCCCAGCAGAAGCCCCTTGGGGTGTCTTCCTTGCAAGGACCCTGAAAAACAAAAGTAATTCCAGAGAGGACTGATATCAGTTAGGTCTCCAGAATAAAATAATGGTGACAATTACACTAGCCACAAATCGACTGTCCACAAAGGGCCTGGCACAGGCTGGGCTCTTCAGGCCACACTGAGTGGCCTATCCCTATTGAATGGAAGAGGGAAGTAGAGCCCAGAGATGCCAGGGAATTGTCCCCGGCCTCCTGGCCAGCGAGCACCAGAGCTGGGAAGGGAACTCCGTTCTAGAGGCTCCAAACCTGCTATCCAGTGCGCTCAGAGCCCCGATGGCTCAGGCTCCACAGTCAGTCACGACACAAGCATGAGCTTATAAAACATGTTAGTTCCCATGATGATTATAATGAGCAAGTGACTTCATCTTGACTCTGAAGACTGGAGGGACCCACGGCTCCTGTCTGGGCCTCCGTGAGTGTGAGGTGGCTGGGGGCCATGCCAGCCTGGAAATGCCCCAGCTGGTTCCCTGCAGGCAGGGGGGAGGAGGGAGTGTGCCTTCCTGCCATTCTGCAGAAGTTCCCTGGGAGACCACGGTCAAGACCTCTCCATAGGATTTCTCACTGCTGTGCTGTGACTGTGGTGGCAGCGGAAGCTACTAGAAGTTGGGCCAGGGCCTGACGGACCGGCCATGGGCAGCTCTGTTTTCTTCTGGTGCAGGTGAGCAAATGTAGGAGGAAGACTGACGTCTGATGCTGACTTGGTGTGAGGAACCGAGTGGGGTGCAGGTCACATGTTGCTTCATGGAATCCCCACAGCCCCTGAAGCTGGCGCCAAGATTCCCGGGAGGCATAGGCTGAGCCCGGCACCGAGCCAGGAAGGGAGGTTTCACAGGCGTCTCTGCGGTCCTGTGCCCTCGCTGAACCGAACAAACCACAGTTCGGTTCTTCAGCGCCTCTGACCGACCTACAAAGTTACCAGGAAGTAGGTCTGAGGTCTAGGGGCCTGCATCTCCAGGTGAACCAACCTTAGAGACAACCAGTCTGTCCATAACCCCGCTGCACACCTCTGGCAGCATGACCTCTGCGAAGTCAGCAGGACAAGGACATGCAGACGGCTTCGCTGTCTGAAACACGGTGGAGACCGGTGTTTCTCAAACTGGGTTCCACCTCAATATTCTCAGGCACTTGCAGGTTCTGTCAGTGCACTAAAACCGTCTTCATTTAAACCAATTTTTAAGAAGCCCACTTGTTTTTCCTAGTTATAAGAACTTTCTTTTTGCTGTGGTAACTTGGAAAGGCTGAGATGTCACAGAACGAGGCTCTGGATTTGCAGGCGGGAGTGTGTCACTGGACGCTACTATCGTTTTCTGGGGAGGCGGTACAGATGCTCTGCGTGAGAAAACCCAGCACACACGAATTCCCCTTGGGTGCCCATGCATTCTGTTATAAAGGGCCATCTCTCCTGAGTCCCTGGATTTCAACAGGCCAGCCTCCTGCTCCGACCCTCCGAGGGCTCCAGGCCAGAGGCAGGGGCGGGTGAGGGGAGAAGCCACCTAGGGCGAAGCTGGAAACACGGGCGGTCAGAGATGGGTTTTCTGTTGAGCGTAAAGGTGGGCTGAACAGGATGACACAGGGCTGTGTGTCCCGCACTACAATCCTCAGGGCGCAAAGCCGCACAGACCCCGATGCAGCTGGAAAATCTGCCTTCATGTGCCTGTGAGTTATGTGGATGGTTTTCAATGAACACACATCTAGGGCTTGTGTCTGTTTCGGTATAAAACATGGAATCCGGGGCGGTGGCCGCCTCTGCAGAGTGGGTGGGAGGGACAAGAGCCTGGTGGTGCTGGAGGTGACGTGGGCTCTATCTGGAATGTGCTCCCTCTCAAAACAGAACTGGAAGTGAACAGAAAGAACATTGTCAGCTGCCAACTGCTTCGCCGGCGAGACTTAGGGGTCTGCTGTGTTTGCCTCTGAATCACCCTTCCGCTGAGGGAGGCTCGTGCCCTTTAAGCTGCAGGCGCCCCCTCGTGAGCTGCCCGGGCCCAAGGTCCTAAAGCGCTCCTTCTTCAGATAAAAAGCAGAACACAGCCATCGTGTGTGGAAGTAGAAATTTAATAAAGCCTTTGATCACGTTTTAATCCCTAGGTTATCTATGAAACCAAACCGCCCCCCCGCCACAATTTTTTAGAGCCATCAAGAGCCATCGAAGTGTCAACAAACACCGGCCATAAGAGCATAGATTCAGTGTTTAGATAGTGCAATATTTCCAGCTACTGAAGAGAACAATTTAAATGAAATTACGAACCACCCCTCCTCATCAAAAGAACAAAAGAAGTTGGTGTCGGTGCTTAGAAACCACGCTCTCCGCAGCAGCACGCTGGCCGATCTGCAGGTGATTGGAGTCAAGATGGAAGCACCCGTGCGGGCTGACGGTCCTCTGGGCCCCCCGCATAAATGTGAACGCCCGCTCCGCGCGCGCGCACACACATTCAGAGATCTTCAGAGGAGTCGAGTGTTTAAAGTGGCAAATCCACAGAATCAGAGGTTACTTACAAATCTTTAATAATAATAAATTCCTGTCTTTAAATTCTTTGCCATCCTTCCATCTAAGTAAAACATAAACTCTGTTTTGTAGAAGCCCAGGGGCTCTCACGTAGCCAGGCTTGGGCCCGGGCAGGACACGGCACCTAGCGGCAACCTCTGAGGGAGGCCACGGAGATCAGTCCTGCTTACTTTGCCGTCAACATGAAGGTTTTTGCCAGCAGGTGTTCTGCTGCTTGGTAGAAAGCTGGAAGGCCCCAGCTGGCTCCACAGAACAGAGGAGGGACCAGGCACTCCTGGCTTCAGTCTTGGTGGTGGGGATGCCTAAGGAGCTTGACGAGGGGGGCAAGGGTGATGGCTGTCAACACAGACCATGGACACGGCCTCTGTCTCAATTCCCTGGATCGAGAATGAAGTTCTCATGGTAAGGGCAGAGGAGCACAATGGGTTGGAAGAGAAAAATGAAGTAAAAAAACAAACCCAAAAAACCCAGCCCAGCGTTTCCTCAGCCCTTTGAGCTTCTGTCAGTGCAAAGTGCCCCCATTCCCCGTGCTAAAGAAAAATGAGGGGCAAGACCCAAGTTTCTTGGGATTTTACCATCAGTGGAGGGAAGCCACTGCCCCAACAGGCTGGGTAACTCAGATAGTGTTCCTTACAAGACAAGAGCAGGGCAAAGAAGCAGGGGGATGGCAGCTGTCCCCTTAGGAATCAGCAGGCTTTGGGGGAACAGCCAGCGCCCTCTGGAAACAGAGCTGCTCTTAAGGGCCAAGAGGTACTTTCTCCCAAAGCCAGGCCGCCAGTGTGAACACATTAGATGGGATCAAGCCAGTGGGGGGCCTCCAAGCAACCCCACCTGCTAAGGACTCAGAGCATCTGAGGCGAGACTGGGTGTGTGAGCGTTGGGGGGGGCACTGCCGCCCGTGGAATGCGTGGTTTCAAGGTGGGGGCAGTGCCCCGAACTTCCTGGGCTCTGCCGCCTTCCTGGCCGGCAACTCTGCTTCCCTGGGCAGCAGGCAGGCCTGGTTGTCTGCAGAAGGGCCGCTGTGGACGGGACGGAGGCAGAGACTTTGTCAAGTGCATAGAGGCTTGGCGAGGCCTTACCTGAGTAAAGAGTTTTCAGAAAAGGAAGGAGAGCGTCTCAGCCCTAGTGGGCTCTGTGTACTCAGGACCGTATCGTGAAAACCACTCTGGACCCTTGGAGTTCCGGGCACTCACTTGTTCATGCACAGCTCATTCAGAAAGTTCAGGAAAGAAAAGACTCACCAAAAAACCAAACTATCAAAAGGAGAAGTCCCTCTGTGACCACAGGCCTCGGCTTCAGGCCCCAGAAAGCAGGAGAAAAGGACCAGCGCTGGCGGAACCCGGAGGTTTATTCTCAACACCCTTCCCATCAGTGTCACCTGGAGAGCGCTAAGGAGTTGTCAGGTGCGTCCCAAGTAGTTGAGGCCACAGGGGAGTCTCATGGCTATAGAGTGAGAGGTCACCTGGCGGGTGGGTCACCCACTCCCAGAGCGACCCTGCCCCCTGGAGCTGAAGGTCCTTGGGATCCCAGGAGCCGGCCAGAGCAGGCGGTGGGGGCGGGAGCTAGGAGAGCTCGAAGCCCGTGTTCATGCTGATGGCGTAGCGCAGCTTTTCCCGGAGGGCGCTCTTCTTGCTGTAGTTGGGCAGCTTGAGCAGATTGAAGCAGGTGGAGGAGGTGGGCAGGCGGCCACCCGGCTCCCGCTTGCGGATGGTGAAGAAGCCCCGGAGGACACTGCCCAGGGTGTCCCCCGTGTCCTGCAAGCACACACCACAGCCTCGGTTGGGAGGCACCTGTCGAGGGAGCCCAGGGGGCTGCCAGAGTGGGTGACCCAGGAGAGGGCCTGGCTAGCCCCTGGCGTCGAGCAGAACGGCTGGGCTGGTGAGAGCACGCTGCCGCCCAAGACTAGCCCCCCAACGGAGGGCACCCGGCCCTGAGTGCTGAGCGCACAGAAGCAGCCCCGTCCTGCACGGGCAACCCCTGTGTTAGGTAAGCACTCAGGGGGCCTTCGGGTTAACTGCTAGTTACCGGTTAACCAATTTCCAAAGAGCCAGACTACTGTAGACACTCTTAAGGTCCAAAAACAGCCTCCCACTTCCTGCTGCCAGCACGTGGCCCGGGGCAGACTGCAATGTGGGGCAGCCTTCCTTAAGAGGACTGAGCCTTGTCTAGCGTCACACGAGAGACCTGGAGACCAGCCTGCAGCATCCTGAGAGGCAGCTATGCGCAGAGGCCGCTGGGTTTTGCCGGCGGGGGAGAGGGGCTGAGACAGTGAACCACGGCTGCTCTTCAAGCACCCCTCCATGGGGCAGGACAACCCGAGACGTTTATTCTCTCTTGCAGACAAGGAAACGATGCGGCCTGCCAGATAGCAAGGGCCAGCACACAAGCCCTTGCCTGCCCCATTCCTAAGCCTTACCTCCTCCCCCAGCTGCCTCTCAGCCTGGAGCCCTGCCAAGCCACCCGCTACTAAACCACCCCCCAGGTACCCTTTCCTGAGGGAGGAAAGAGAAAGGGACCCCAAGAGAGCTGAGGCCCCAGAGCAGCCCGAGTCCCAGGGCATCCTCTAGGGGCCCAACTGCTCTCCTGGCTGGAGCGTTGTGGAACCTTCTCACCCGGCTCCCAGGAGCCGCGCGGCCTGCCCTATGGACCCAGACCGGGTGTGAAGCTCTCCACAGCGCGCACAGCAAACCACCCCGAAGAGCGGGCGCCTCGCCCCCCGGCAGTGGTACCTGATCGTCTGACACTTCCACACAGCGGATGGAGAAGGGAGGCTTGAGGTAGGCGAATCCTAGGAGCGGGGGCCTGGAGCAGCTGGTCACAAACTGCAACACAAGGCAGGTTGAGGGGACAGAGTGGGACTCTTGCTCCCTCAGCAACACGCCCCTGGCAGGCGAGCTGCGCTTTTTTGCTTTCTCCAGTCATGGTATGACTGGAGAGTGGAAGGTGACCGTGCATTCAGCCCAAGAACTGGTACATGTCTCATGTCTCCCTTAAGGGTGTTGTTTTTGAAGGTTAAAACACATGAAAGCCACACCAGCAGATGTGACCAGTCATTTGTGCGCACCAACCCAGGCGATGGCAGAGAACGTGTAGCTGAACAGCTCAGAAACAACACAAACTCCCCTCACGGGACCAATCTCAGTGGGCCTGGCACGTGGACCCTGCGTAGAGAGACGCCATGCACAGGAGCACTGGGCAGAGGGAGATGGTGGTGCCCCTAAGGATGGCGCAGGAGAGAGGGCCCGCTCCCCTCACACCTGGCTTCCTGCTCGGCTTCCTAGCCAGCCAGGGGACAGTGTGCAGGTGCGCTCACCTGAGCACCCTGGCCTGCTGGGTCATGGAGCAGTCTCTGTGAGCTTTGTCCCTGACAGACAAACCTGCTCTCAGCACGCAGACAATGATCAGGCGTCTGGCACCAGCAAGGCTGAGGGGGACGCACTGATGCCCCAGACACCGAGAATGGAGCCTCTGGGCAGCCAGTCATGCGCCCTTGCGACACTCCTGGGATTCCCTGCATCTTCCAGATGGCAGCACCTGTGTTATCTCCCCACACGTGCAGCTCGTGTCTACACAGGGGAACCAGACTGACTTAGAAATCCGAGCAACAGACCTGCAGAGGAAGTCTTAGAAAGCACTCGCTTTTTAGAACTGAGTATCAGCTAGAAACGCTCTCCCTTCTCCAGGGGATGTATGGGCCTACTACTGGACCTACTACATAACGCCAAGCTGTGCTTCAAAATTTCACTGCAAGCTGCGTGTTTGGCTCTTAATGTAACCATTACCACTGAAACAGTGTTTTAAATGGCTGTGAGATTCCTGAGGGCAACCAGAGAGTTTTTGTGCAGCAGGTTTCAAAAACTGTTTTTATACCAAGTACCGATGCTACTACCCAGCAGGGTTTACTTTCCACCAACCAAAGCACAGCAGCAGCTCCTACAAAGAAAGCAGGGCTGAGCTCCGCACTGAGCGCTCTGGGACCCGGCCTCATTGCGTCACTCCTCGGGAGCTGAGTGATTCGCTGTTTCAGGGATGAGGAGATAGACCCGGAAGAGCCCATGCCTATCCCAGTTCAGGCCACTCAGACCTGCCACGTGCCGCAAGCCGGGGCTGGTCAATGGAGGGAGTGCGGCTTTCATCCCCCTGGGGCGGGAGGTGCAGGAGCAGAGGGCACAATCTGCCATCTGCTGGCGTGACATCTGAAGAAAGCAGAGTCAGGGCCACTCCCGTACAGCGGGTGTGTCTTCCACCTGGCGCCGGGGCCTGGTTGCAGGAACAGCAGGTCTGGGGACCGGCTCTCCAGAGACACGAACATGCCTGCTGTGTGGGACAGACTGCATACAGTCAGGAACCACGGGCTCTCTCCTCTTTCTAGGAGAGACGGAGGAGCGGCTCTACAGGCCAACGGGGGTGTTTTGCCTATAAGAGGTGCTGCTGAAAATCAGACTTGATTCTCTTGAGAATTTTTGGAATTATGTCTACCTGCCTACCCCAAGTCCTTCAAAACCCATGGGGACGAGCCGGGCATTTCTGCGTCTGCGAGTGGGGACCTCCTTGATGGGAATGAACTCTCCTCAGAATGACAAACAAAGGAGAAAGAAAACCTGCTGCCTTTTCAACTGGTGACACTGTTTGTGTTGACTCAACAACAGAGGTCACCGGAGACCACTCTTGAAACCCAAATGTCCAATGGAAAATAGCTCAAGGCACTTAAATGTACCCCCAGAATATGACAAAGTGTTCATGGTAAAATATCAAGTAGGAGAGCGGGTGGCAAAGTGAAGATTCCATCTTTATAAACATGTACACGTGTGTAACAAATACAGACAAGTGTGCATCGTCCCATGAAAGGCTTCGCCAACGTAACAGCAAACAACACAGTGGCGTCGGTGTGGGGGGATGTTCTGAACGTTTACAACTTCAAAGACACCGGTATAAGGGAACTGGTTAATGTCAGCCACTGTTTGCAGAAACACACACTGCTCTCAGCCTACTCAATCATGGTGTGTTTTACGGGCACACTGTATGTGTGGCACTGCATGTTTTACACCACTCAGAAAAAGGGTACACAGAGGCAGTCCGGGGACAGTAGGAACAGAGATTCAAAAGTGTGCCTGTCTCAGGATGCCTGGCTGGCTCAGCCGGTGGAGCATGTGACTTGATCTTGGCGTTAGAAGTTTGACTCCCCACATTGGGTGTAGAAATTATTTAAAAACAAAGCTTTAAAAAAATTGCTTGTCTGTAATCTTAAGGTAGTAAACACCATTTGCTTCTATACAGGAAGGAAGAAACGAGATGTGAGCAAGGCCAGCACCAGCGAAGGGGAAGACGGAGTGCTGAGGCCAACGAGCTCCCGTCCACGCAGGCCTGTCTCTGCAGAGAGGTGTGCGGCAGCTCTGGGGCCCATGTGACTCAGCCTCACCTCTGGCCTGTCTGGTTACTGCTTGACCCATCATGGAGGTGGCCTACACGAGAGGATACGCTCATGATAGGAGGTCCTCTTGGTAAGGTTTATTTTTTCCCAGTGTAAATTTTTACATCAAGTGGCCTCTAGGTTTATGAGAGTATCTATGAATGCACATGTAGGTAACATATAAAATGCCTTTAGGGGCACCTGGGTGGCTCGGTGGATTAAGCCGCTGCCTTCGGCTCGGGTCATGATCTCAGTGTCCTGGGATCGAGTCCTGCGTGGGGCTCTTTGCTCAGCGGGGAGGCTGCTTCTCTCTCTCTCTCTGTCTGACTCTCTGCCTACTTGTGATCTCTCTCTCTCTCAAATAAATAAATAAAATCTTAAAAAAAAAAAAAATACCTTTAGAAACATGGCTCTCTCGTCGGGTGTGAAGTCAGAGGCCAGAATATCCCAGAGCCAGATGATGACCCTGTGACTTCCATGAAAGCCACCGTAGTACACCGTGTGCTTCCTGAAAACAATGCAGACAATGTGCTCAGCCACACATTCCAATGGGCACTTACAGACCCAGGCAGGGATGGACTTTAGCCAAGTGGAACAGCCAGCTCTGGCAGGCCTGGGTGACTCCCGACTTCTCTTAAAGGAAGATGCTCATGCCTTCGTGACCCACAGCCCTGGAAGCTGAACAGGTGGGGAGCTCCAGAGCTGTACACTCCTGTGACTCGCAAACAAGAGCTAACAGGAGGTCCTGCCCTGCCATTTCCCAGAATTCTGGAGAGCCCAGCAGTCCCTGACACATGCTTAGTCTCTGCTTCCACTTCTGAGTCTCTAGGCAGACAAGTGGGGGAGCTTCTGTTCCAGAGCGATTCGCCCAGGGATCAGGGAGGAGTACACTTGGAGGTGGGCTCCTGAAATAGAAGGAGCCCAGCAAGGGGACAGCTTGCTTCCCAGGAGGCCAAAGATTTCACTCACCAACCCCCACTCCCCGGCCCCAACCAACCAACCAACCAACCAACCAACCACTCGTTGCTTACTTTAAATCTTCCAGATCAATCTCAGCATTGTCACCAGAGATGAGACGCTGTAGCTCAGGGGTTGAGAACATCCGGGTCCACTCGGGCTTGATAATGGAGCGGAATCCGCTAATGAGGGCAGCTGTCTGGTTTTTGATTTGAGTGTGCATCCGAAAATGCGCCATCAGATGGATGTAGCTAATCCTGTTGCCAACAGGAACAAAACAGTGGGAATTAATAGGCCAGGCTGGGCTGTTACCAGTGGGCTGAAAGAGGAGTCCAGTCATTTTGAGACCACTTCACAGAAACACCAACGGTACCAGGGTGTTTCACCAGAATGATGCTGATGACGAAGATGACAGTGATGCTAGCTAGCCCTCCTAATGTGTTCAGGGCATTACCTCATTCACTCCTCCCCCAAAACTCGGGGGTCAGACATCAGGAAACACCCCCCTATACCAAGAACCCAAGTGAGACATTCTCCAGGTAAGGAGAGGGCCCTTCTCAGTACAAAGGGTGCTTTTTGGACTCTTATTTACTATCATCCAATTAAGAGAGAATTTCGGCCTTCAGTAAACTTTAAAACAGAGAAAAAAATGGTTTCATGAGGAAACCTCCATCAAAGCCATACTAATCTGGGCCAAGACTCTAAGTCATGAAAAGCAAGCCTGAGAAAAGTTGTGACCAAAAGCAGCTGGCTTACACTTAAGTTAGACAGGAAGTCAGGGCAATAACAATGGTTCTGAGCAGACGGTCTTCTGGGCCTGCTTTTCTGAGCACAGTGACCTCATCCACGACTGTGTAAAATACAACACAAACCTTTTGAACAGGTTAAATCCAGTTTTGCTAGCATGACGGATTTCTTAGCAAAGATGATGAGCCCAGCCCAGGTATGATTCTCCAAATCCCAAATTAGCACCCCAAATTAGCACAGTCCAAATAAAAATTTTTACCCCAAAGTGCTCAGAACTGAGTTTCTGACCTTGAAAATGCATCTATTTAAAAAAAATTATCCAGCAGCAGACTTGCACACTGAAACACTAAATACGACTTTTTCCATGATAGATTTCCCTTTCATACACGCTGCGAGGCAGGGTGCTGCTATTGTTCCATTTTACCAGAAGAGAGAGGGGGACTTTGGAGGGCTTTCCCATTTAATGCCCACCAGGAAGCGTGAGATCAAATATCACTCCTGAGGAGGGCAGAACCAGCCCTGACAGGCCTTTTAAGACCTTCTGTGGAACTGAATCCCCTTGCCCTTATGCCGAGCTTTTTTGCTGAGAACATATAAGAGTTTGTGAAGTGGCTTTCCACACAGGTCAGGCAGGGTAGGAGTCTCACTCCAGCACAGGCTGTGTCGGCCTGCTGCTTCTGGCCGTGACCCATGCTGTGAAACACGACCAATCTGGGGGTGATGGGGGTCTATGAGACATGTCACAGTGCTGACACTGGTGACATTCACTGCTCTCATTAGAGAACCAGACATCTGAACCAGACATCCTAAAAGGTATTTTATACTCATGAGCTCAGAGAAGCCCTCTGAAGAGATGGTTATAAGCACACAGCAGGGAGCAATGGGACGCGGCCCTGCTGACACCCCCAGGCAGCACCTCCCAACCTGGGCTCCCGGCTCTTTTCTCAGTTGTCCAACTAATGCCCTGTGGCTAGGAGTCAAAACTGTTGTCCTTCCAACACGAGGAGAATCAGGCCTGCTCTTCTGACCACACTGACCATCTAAATGAAAGCTCCGCAAGCAGGCGGGACTGATCCCCCACCTGACCCCAGAGGGACGCTTGGGCTGCAACGTGCATCTGATCCAAGTGACTCGCCAGGTGGGACTAAGCTCTCCCCTGTCACTGGGAGAGTGACGCTCAGATTAACAGTTCAGATGCTCAGCTGAGCCTGGCGGCAGGAGAAGACTGATAGACTGACAAAAGGGCCAGTATCGACTCCTCATGCCAGGTTCTTCTGTTTTAATGAGGTGAGAACAGTGCGGGAGGAGACAGTGCACTGAGGAGTTTTGTTTCTAGGTACCGAAGAGGAAGAGGCTGACATTTACGACAGATTTCTAAAAGCCCGTTATCTGTGACAATAGCTGCTGGGCCTCTGAGTCCCCCCCATCTAAGGATGTGTCTGTGGCATTTGAATTCATCACTGTGTCTTCTCAAGAACAGCATTTCATACAACTGCCACATGCTATCATTCCAAAATGATCTGCCCCTCCAAGGTGTCTTTCCGCCTCTGGGCCCTGTGGGTTCAGGACTACGTGCCTGGCACGGCTCAGAATCCATTTGTCTGCCTCTCGAGCCGTCATTAAATTCCTAGGAACACCATGGCCTGGGTGCCTCTGACCTTAGATGTGCTACTGCAAAAAATAAATTGTCAATTCTTATTTTGCAAATCGAATTTAATACAATTTTGGCCTATGAACTGTAACCAGTAAATTCCATTATGATATTTATGGCCTCTTTCTACTTCTATCTATCTTAATAAATTCTCAAAGTAAGACCGGAAAGCCAGAATGAAGTCTTTTCAAGTGCTGACCTTAAAAATCTAATTGCTATACTCACTTATTTTCATTCGTAACAGGAATGGTCTTCCCTCCAGGAATCAGTTCATGGCAAACAAGCTAGGGGAGAAGATGGGGAGCAATTAGTCAAGAGGATTCTACCGGGGAAATAAGGCTTCCTGAAGATGAAAGGGCCCGCCACTGATGTCCATAATAACAGAATGAAGATGAGACATGTTTTGGAATAATCATTTTCACAAGAAGCCAGGGCTTAACTATCAACAAGCAGACCCTGCACAATCAATATGGAAGCCTTCTTCTCATCTGATCCTCATTAAAACATTCATACTGAGGCTTCAAAATGTTGTGGAGAGGACCGTGTTTGCATTAGGAGCACAGTTAAATAAATGTTGGTACAACCGTAACCTGCAATGTGTAGCTATTAAAAAATATGATGAAAACGTGCATTTGTTGAGAAGGTGGGGAAAAAAAATTATAATAACACGCATGGTATGATACCGTTTCTGGGAAAAAAAAGTTACACAGGTGCCCCAGGAGAGAATTCTGAAAACACACAGATGACACATTAACAGCAGTGCTCTCTGGGCGCTGGTGCTCTAACTGTTTTTTTCAGATACTGTGCTCATCTTATAGTGGAATCTGTGGTTAGCAGTTTGCATTGTTTCTATCATCAGAAGAGAAAATTCTCAGGAGGAAGGCTCAAAATCTGATTAAAGATTTGAAAACTGCGGACTCAAGTATTTTCCTCAACTTCAAGCATTTCTGGGGGTCACCTAAAAAAATCAAAGAATGCATAATTTCAAAGCTAATTTTAGCAGAAATTCTACTAATAGGATATCCTGGGTCTCTGATGATGCAGAAAGGAACGATCGTGGCCTCTAGTCCCACCACTGTGAACACCTTGGGGCAATCGGAGGACTCTGAAGCTGGGGCCTCTGACCCAGCTTGGTGTTTCCCAGACAGGGCTCTAGGGAGCGCCTGGTCCATGCGCTATTACTTGGAGAACCTCGGAGAACCACTCTGGGGGAAGGCTGAGGCTCCTCCCTCACAGGCCGGTCAGAGTGCTCCCACACCAGCGTGCTAGGGGCTCTCTGCAGGGTGCGGCCTACGGGAGTTCACAGCATCACGCTGGTCCCAGAGAAGCAGGGCTCAGGGAGACTGACGGACCTCTTGGAGGCAATGCGGGCTCGGCTCCAAGAAGCCAGCTTTGCACTATGCAGCTCTAGGTCCGATTTTCCTTGCAGTGCTCGGAACACGGGCGCACAGAGGCTCATGCAGGTGTCCGCTGGGACATCTCTGGAGGGCGCGGAGGGCACTTCAGGTAAAAGCCAAAAGGAAAACTCTGGGAAGGGACGCCTCTGCTGTCAGTGTCGACAGTCTTTTCTCCCTGCTCTGCTCTATGGGATGAGCCGGAGCAAGGACTGGATTCTGTTCGAGCCACTTCTCCAGTGGCTTCTTCCCCTCTGCAAATCACAAGCCTCCATGTGTGATAGCTAATCCTCACCATGGCAACGAAAAGCAATGTTACAAATGGGGAATTAGAGCTCCCATCAGGAATGACCCTAAATGCAATCTAAGCAACGCGGGGTCTCTGTGGGGAGCTCTCTGAGGGCCCAGCAAGCAAAGGCCAGGTCAACTGGGAATAAAGGGGGAACAGCCCCCTTGCTGGCAAGGCAGGAATTGGGGGATGGGCGAGGGGGACAGGCACCAGAGGACAGGCAGCCCTGGTTTGTGGACCTCCCGGGGAGAAAACCAAGAATGGGGTGGGTCCCAGGAAGCCAGTGGAGGGAGGCAAAGAATTGCTGAGCCATAGAGGCCGACCTACCTGACCCATGACGTCCTCATCGTACGAGAGAGTCAGGCCCAGGTCAGCAATGTCCCCGTCATAGCGCTAATGCAACAGAGAAGGGGCAAGTGTTGGGACCCAGCAGGCCATATCCTTGAAGCCTGTACCACATCCCGTCCTACCCGGTACTGCGTGGGCAGGACCACCATGGCCGCCACCGGGCCTGAAGCAAAGGCAAAGGCCGCTCGTCACTGTGAGCAAGGAGGTAGGAATTCCCAGAAGGGGACATGGGAGTCTCCGGAAGCTACAGAGTGGCCCCTGCACCAGAGCAGGAAATCGCTCCCACCACATGGGAACCGTGAGGCCTTCACTTGACCGAGCTGACATCAGCCTGCAGCTACACCTGCCATGTCACACTGACCTTAATGGAGGTGAGGTTTTTATAGAACTCCGAGTCCAGCGAAGGCAGCTCGTCCACAGAGCTGTAGAAGATGCTGTGGTGGTGCCCGAGCAGCTGGCTGAGGAAGAAGGATGCAAAGGGCACGTCCACCACAATTCCCTACAAGAGAGGAGATAGGAGCTTGCCGTCTGCCATGTAGGATCCCATCTCAGTGACCCTGTCGGGGTGGCTGGGGCTGCAGAGGAGCTCTGAGGGTGCCAAGGACATCGCTGGGTGCTTCCTAAACTTTCAAGGCGGAGACCAGTACCTCCCAACTATAGGACACTGCCAAGCACCTACGGGGGCCAGCAGAGCATAGCAGGTAAAGGCACAGGCTTCGGAGCTGCGCCGCTCAGGGACCCAGCCAGCTGCGCTGCTGCCTGGCTACAGGCCGTCGATCTCTCATCTGTAAATGGGGACTGGCACAGCCTCCCAATTTTAAGGTTTAAATGAGCAGGGTGGAGAGGAATGCAAAGCATTGGCTCTCCATTGGATCCAGGACAGGGTAGTCTCCAGGAGAAAGACCTATCCAAGCTGGACCTAAGCAGCACAAGGCCTCTCGTACAAGCCCCACAGGGATGCCCCGGGGAGGGAACACAGAGCTCTCCGCACACAGCACAGCGTGCAAGGGAGGGGAAGGGAAGGATCAGGGCCAGATCTGGAGGGGCCTCCTGAGGCTCCTGGAGTCTGAATTCTATCTGGAGGGCAGCAGGGAGCCCTAGGAGAGCTCCAGGCAGGGACGTGCCAGGTTATACTTGGCATGGGGAATGGACCAGAGGAGGAAGATAGGAGGCAGGGATGCAGCAAGGAAACCACTGTGGAATGCTGGGGAGAAGAGGCAGACTGTTCCAGGTGGAGGGAAGCATGTAAGTCGGAGAGATTTAGAAGGGACAGGGGCTCAGGTTCGATGATGACCTGTTTCAGAGGACAGCGAGGGTTACGTGAGTTAATGCATGCTACTCCTCACATGGTGCCCAGCATGTCCTAATTTCTCTGCACTGTTACTGCTGCAGAGGGAGGAGACAGACGCTGGGTCCAGGGGAATAGGGGAGGACATTCACAGAAGTCACTGGTCCTACTCTTGTGGGCATATCACAGCTACATGTTTAAAAGAGAAATGTGGCATATGGCCAGGGACATCCTCATGGGATTTCTTTTCTAAATGGGAATCAACTGAGAAATGGCATCCATTTTGCACATGTGGAAAGAGAAGCACAGAAAAGGAGCCCAGGCCCCTGCAACCGATCTAGGGCGGGAGGCAGCCTGAGGGAGCCTGGGCAGGGATGCAGATGGGGCATCTGCCAGCACCCCGAGCAGGGACTGAGGCCAGACACCAAGAATGCAGATGCTTGCCCCCACATGGCCTCTCTTCCTGCCTCTCTCCATTTGCTCCAGCTACCAGCTCTGCCTTCCCCAGGATTTGTGCCGGGTGAGTGGGGAGTACTGCTCAGGCAGTTTGGGAGTCCACTGTGAAGGCCACAAGCTCCTGCTGCAGCTTTCCTTCTGGCCTGGGGAGCAGGACCCTTAGGGTAGGGACCAAGCGTCCCTGGAGGGAGTTCTGCTGGCTTGGCTTGCAATGGACGGGGATCAGGACCTGGGTGGACCGCTCCTGCTGCCTACATGAGTCCACGCAGCCCTGACCCCACAAGACCGACGAGCCAAGCAGCACAGGAGGTGTCTTAACTCATTTATATCTGCAGCAACCCAATAACACAGCTTTTATTGTCCCTACTTCCTGACAAGAACGAGGGCCTACAGAAATAAACAGGCCGCACTCGCACAGTTCCCGGCTAGCCAGGGAAGACCGGTCTCGACCTGCTGTCCTGCTCTGGTTCGTAGGCAACACCGAGATGCCTGTGGCTTGCTCAGAAGCACTCACCCAAGTAACAAAGGATATAAGAAAACAGCTGTAACGACTATCACACCCCACAAAACGCTGCCCTCCTACAATGGGACCATGCTGGCCTGGATGTGAATCTGGGTTCTACCACTTAACTAGCGCTGATACTCTAGACAAGTGACTTCCTGAAGCCTCACGTCTGTCACCGGCAGGTAAGTGGGACACTGGCAGCCAGGCCACAGGACGGGCAAGATGAAATGACACAGCACATGGAAAGCTCCCAGTGTTTCTGTTCAGTAATCTTGGGTCCTGTCCTCTTTCTTGGGCTCCATCCTAATGACAGGGACTTTATGTGGCTGGGTCCAGCCAGGACACCATGCACCAAGTCCCCGGGACTTCTAGCATCTTGTTTTCCCTCCCGGTGCGACGCTCCTGCGCGTGCCTACCTCGTACACGGCCTTCCCCAGCATCTTGCCCACAAACTCGAAGAGTTGCAGGTAGTTCTCATGAATGTAGGACGTGGGCGAGGGGTAGAGCCTCTCGTCCCCGCTGGTTGTCTGCAAGGGAGAAGAACAGAGAGAGGCAGGGAGCCCACAGGCCTGGTGCTTTGCTTCTCATTCCTCACGGAGCTTTTGGCTGCCGTCAGCCCCGCTCCTGTGCCCCTTAAGTACCTTGAATAGATTGAGCGCCGGGTCGAACACCCTCTTAATGATTTCCTCCAAGAACTCCTTGAAGACGCCGTCCTGGTCAATACCTGCCTCATCCACGCCGAGGTCATTGACAAACTTCACGCGGATGACGCCCTTCATGGCGTGCTGGGAGAGCTGCCGGAGCTGCTCGTAGCCGTCCTGCCGAGGGCAGAATGGCAACCCGTCAGGAGGGGGAGGCCCTCTGCCCAACTCACGGCTGCTGCTCCAAGGCTCTGGCTCCCGTGTCTAGCCTTCCTGGCATCATTACTAAACACGCGAGTCAGGATGTAGGGTACGGGCACAGGCAGTTCTCACCCGCTTTTAAATGAGCCTGTTAAAAGGGAAACTCATTTTGGGGATGTGACTCCACTGCTCCATGGCAAGGGGAGGCCGCCCTGAGACAATGCAGAGGACAGAGGTGGGTAAGGCAGACAAGATGAGCTGTGACAAGCTCTTGGCTGTCAAAGGACAGAAGTAACTGGGACAAGACCCCACCCATTTTAATGCAAAGACTAGCTTATTTAGCTCATGATAAAAATCAGTCAAACTCAGTCAAACCCCTACAAGATGAAAAATGAAAATCCCCCCCCCCCCATCAACTCCTGGTAGCCTTCCCCAGGTCATGAAAGGCCTGAGTGAGTCAGGCTGAGGAATTCAGGGTCCACCTGGAGGGCAGTGGAGGGCCACAGAAGAGTCCAGGCAGGGTGAGATGTGACGGACTTTCTCCAAAAGATCTTTGTTGGCAGCAGAGCAAACAGATGGCAGGGACAAGGGTGTGGGAGTGATGCTGGGCCCACATGAGGCAGGGGGAGCAGCGAGGAGCCCCGCACAGCCCCTGGCCAGCAGCCAGCCCGCAAGGCACGCAGCCATCCACACAGAACCCTAGGATGACACTTTAATGTTCTTGCACTCCATTATCTTGTTTAGTGCGCCTCCCGATTCTAATCTGTTGAGGTCTTCGGGCTCCTGGTTCTGTCACCTAACGTGTTCCTGGCATCAGCAAGCTTAGTTTAGGTTTTTGTTTTTGAGAAGTGACCGTCAGAAGCAGTGCTGAACAAGACCGTGGCCAGGGAGGAGCCTTCTGGTCCAAGACGAGAGGCCCTATCTTGGGGGTACAACCGAGCTCTTTAGATACTGTTGTGTAAGGAGGAAATCCACTGCAATACCCCACTGAGGCCGCCCCATGGGTCTCCCTCCCAGTCACAGCCGTGGTGCCGTCAGACATTCTGCTAACACGAGACAGACCATCTCCACGGCAGCCACCTGCCTGCTGGCCTGGTCCCTTATCACTAAGCACACGGGGCCGGAATGCAAGAACTGCTTTGGGGAACTCTTGCCACCTTGCTGCTGATCATATTCCCCTCGTAATGCAAAGGACTATCCCTGGTGGCTTCTGATCTTATCCTGGGGTTAAGCTCCCAAGTGGAGAGCCCATAATAACGAACTCTGGAAGGCAGAGGCTTTGGGTGCACAGTCCCGAGAAGCACCTGAGAAGTGGAAGCCTGAGAACCACTGAGTGAGAGGAAAAGCAACAGAACACAGGATGTCAGCACGCAGCTGCAGCAGAATGGTTAAACCGTTCTGCCTGCATTTATGGTAATTATCCTGGCACGGAGTCACGGATGGGTGGAGAATTCCAGCACGTTCTTGCTTGCCTGCAGATTTCCTCCATTCTGCTCTGAGATGATGCCTCCCTAAGCTGACTTCATGTTGGCAGGGGTGCCAGGATCACGCCGATTAAATGAGACGGTGTTACGTGCAAGCACTTAGCACGCGGCCACATGCAAGGCAGGTGCTTAAGGAATGTTCACTGGAGTCGAATCCTACTTCTTTATCAGCCCCACGTTGGCCTTTTCTTTGAAGAGCTGTAGAGCAGAATGTGCCAGCTGCTTCCTCTGACAAAATTTCCTGCTGCACCCTCTGGGCACGAGCGTCAGTACACGAAAACTGGATCTGCGTCCTTCCTTTTGGAAGGTGAGTGGGAGGAGGGTATCCTGCACCTCAAAGAGCAGAGGCAGAGGACTCTGACCTGGGGATGAGACTGGCTCTCCCACTGAGACCTCCGTGAGCGTGACTGTGAATCCCAGTTCCGCCTATGACTGCGGGGACAGGGCTGGGCAGAGGATGGTTTATGGTTCCTCCCAGTCCTGAGATGCCAGGGTCCCGGCCCCAGTTTACCCTCTGTGAGGGAAAGCCTTCATGCAAGACTTCAGACTAACACCTGCACGGACAGTGCGGAAGCACCACCTTCAGTGAAAACACAGAGGAGGAGACTGGATAAAAGGCCAGAATCACACAGGAGTATCTAAGATCAGTTTTTTGATGCCCCCTTGTGTCCAAATCAAGCAAATGCCACTGGGCTCCCCTCTCACAACCAAACCAGCAAGTGACGAGAACTAGGGTAACTGAGTGTGTGAACCTCCCCCCTCCTAGTTCAAAAGGAACAACAGTAATCTGTTTCATGACAAGATGGACTCTCAGGGAATATTAAAAAAAAAAAAAGCAGACTTGGCCAGGAACAGACCGACACTCCCTGAGGGCTGTGTTTGAGGAAGCAGGCCCAGGGTAACCGGGACATGCGGTGAGTCTCCCACAAGCAGCGACACTTGAGGAGGGAGCCAGAGACTCCGTCACTCTCAGGACACACACCCATCTCTACCACCCCAGCCTTCCTGTTGGTGCCGGCCACGTCTGAAAGGGACTGGGGACCGTAAGGGACGGGAGGAGCAGGTGGTCTCTTTTGGTGGGGGCACGAGTTTCCCAGCTGCCCAGCCCTCTCTACTGCTTGCCAGCTCTGAGGCTGGATGTCAGGTATCATCGGCCAGCTCACGAGCAGGGCTCCTCCTTAAGCAGTTATCTAAACTGAGGCTGTGTTTCAAGAAGAGCAGGAGGGAGCAGTGCAAGTCGTATTGCTCAGCGTGCAAACAAGATGCTCCTGCACGGACACACTCAGCCAGCCTGACCCATTCCCATGACCAGCAGGGTCCCTGGAGGCACTTAAGTCTCTTCTCTCTACCTTTAAGAATGTCAAAAACTTCCGGTTACCACACACTGCCTCTCCCCAGCAGACCCCTGTGTCAATCGACAAGGTTCAGGGGAACTAAAAGCAGCTCTCTAGCGAAGGAGTGTGAATGCCCCAAGAGGTAAATGAAATTGTGGGGGAGGGGGAGGAAGGGCTGCTGCCAGTGCCATTTGCTGGTGTCTGGCTATGTGGCCATGTGCCGTCCCGGGATCCCATGACTGCCTTATGCCGCAAAATGTGCTAATGAGGGGCTGTGGCTAGAGCCAGAGAGAAGGTCCAAAGAGCAAGCAGGGGCAACTATATCAAGTCCAGCCTCTCCTGGACATGTGGACTTGAGGTTCAGTCACCAATTGACCACTGGCAGGCTCAGCACATTTGGGTGGGCTCCACACTGTACAACCCTGGGGGGGGGGGTTGGGAAATGGCTCATAGTAACCTCATAGGCAAATACATTTACTATAACAACATTCCAGTAGATGGTAGTCAGTGTCGTGTTCTGAAAAATTCATTCAGTTATTATGATTTTCTGACATAAAGAGGTAAAGTGTTCTGAAGACAGGCACCTGTCACAGGCAGGTCACACTGGACACTGGGTTTGGCTGAGGCAGGCCACTTCCCTGTTTCTCCAAAGTTCCCATCTACAAAGAACTCCTGGCTGTGCAGTAAATGCACCCGCCCCTGCAGTATGACTCAGTAAACCTGCTACCTACACTCCATCCCCCACATTCACAGTTGGGAGTCTGGGCAAGATGTCTCCCAGGGCAAAGGGAGTTTGCACAGACATGAGAACGCCCACATGCAGCACTTCCTGTCCTCATTGCAAAGAGCGCAGTGTCTGATGTTCCAGCCCTGGGGCCCTCATGGGGAAAAGGCAGGGAAATACCATACTATGGGTCCCTAGCACTGAGGTCACGTTTAATCAGGCAGCTCTCTGGAGCACACGACAGGACCAACGGCCCCATTCCAACCCCAAGCCTTGACTTCAGTGCTATCAGATCAAGGAGTAATAAGAGTGGTTGGAGGCTACAGATCATGCACTGAAAAGTCCACCTCTCTGGATGGGCTTCTCACCTCCAGCATCCGGGACCGTCGGATAGTGATGTGAGTTACGTGGGGAGAGGCTGAGCTGGTCTCCACGAGCCCTAGCTTCTCCTTCTCCTTGGTGACCATGTTTCGAAACAGGAGAACTCTCTGAAATGAGCAAAGGTGAGACCAGAAACTGGGTCAACAACTGATGATTCCCGTAGACACACTATACAAGATTAGTGAAACCAGTCATGTAAGAGGCAAGCGGAATGAGACTCTCTGATACGTGCTGCAGGTTAGGAATGTCTTGGGAGAACAGGAGACGTTCCCCCAAAATCTGGGGAATTAGAAATTATAGCTAAATATATGCCAAGGAAGAAAGGTCACAGAAAGAACAGTCTGGCTGCAGCCAGAGTCCATGTAACAATGGTCTGAGAGAACATTGTTCTCATTCAGTTGATAAACCACTACAAAAACCTGGCGGCAGGACAGGTCACCCAGGGTGCTTTACAGAGCTGTGCTTGCTTTAAAGGAGATCAACGTCATGGGTTGCAAAACAGAAACATTTCAAAGATAATTCTTTTCACTGTCAGAAATTAAAAAAAAAAAATGATCCCACAGAATAAAGGTCTCTGACCTCAAGCACACCAAAAGCCTGCCCACCCCCCACCCCTGCCCAGTAACATTTCTCAGTCACTGTTAGAGAAGAACCCTCTCTCCCCCCATGGTCAAGACCCTGAAAAGCCCCTTGTAGGAGAGCACTATCCTCTGCCCCATCCCGAATATGAGAATCACTGCTGTAAAAGCATTCAGATGATGTCAGCTGAATGAAGAAATAAATCCAAAGACTGCTCTGTTGTTATTTTTTTAAATGAGAATCCCCTCAAAAGCCAAAAGCTTTGTTAAATACAAACAGGACAGTCAGAACAGTAACAATGGTAATAAGGATTAACTGTATACAGGGGAGGCTAGTGCGTTCCCATTTGATCATTTAACTGGCCATGAAATAAACACAGCTGTAGCAGGAATGGCCTCCCAGAGAGGAGGAAGGTTATTTAGCAGAGGAACTACTTCTCAGCAGAGCAGCCTGATGCGGCCGGTCAGCGAGTCCAGAAACAAGGACTGAAGTGCTCGGAGTAGTACCAGAAGCTCCAGGGCTTCCAGGACAACATGGAGGGGAAGAACAGACTGAGTGACAGTGAGAGCAGCTATGATAGAGTGAAGGCCACTGTCGCCTGTCCCGTCTGTGCCGGGGGACTGCTGACTTCCAAAACAGGTCTTTCACTTGTGAGCTGTGGGGCACAACTGCTTCCTCTGCTCCCAAATCTGTAGAACGATCACCTGCACATGAGGCAGAAGTCGAGCTTCCCATCTGGGTGAACCCAGTATGGGGCAGAGACCTCATACACGGAAACAGAAGTGCAGAGGTGGCTGAGAGACTGCCCGTCGCCCAGGAACCCCCGGACAAGGTCCTGATTTCCATGGGGCGTGGAAGACAGTTGGGGGCAACTGTAAGCAGGGCTCAAGGGGCTGAGGCCTCAGTGATCACAGGAGACGTCTGGGAAAGGACCCACTGTGCAGATGAAGAAACTGACTCACTCACCCAAGGTCCCAGAGCTGGTGGACAGAGGAGCCAGATTCAAACCCAGGACCCACACAGAGCCCATCACACCACACAGCCCTGCCCACCCCACAGGGCATTAGGCCTTTTAGGCACAAACAGTAGAGGAAGGACTTAAGTCCCAGTCGGGAGATGAATCACACAGACGAGTAGAAGCTACGTAAGACGGCACAGAGAATGAAGTGCTGTGTATGTGAACCAGGCAGAGTTGAGGCCTTCAAAAATGTTAAGGGAAGCAAGAACAGCATTGTGAGCCACCCACTTGAGTGAGATCAAGAACAGGGAGGGTTTGGCATTTAGAGCAAATGCCATAGTGACAGACTCAAGAGAGCAGGCCGACTGGGGAGACCCTATTGCCCTGTGCATTCCAGCAAGACGTGTCAGCGTGAGGGCAGCACATGCCTCATCAGGACGGAACACCCTGTGACACACTGAGCCACAGATGCCCTCCTGGACCTGCCCAGGCCATCATGGGATCAGGAGAGGGGCCAGGGGCCAGGAAAGGTCCCAAGAGATGGGAAAGAAAGAGTTCATGAACCAAGCAAAAGCCCTGATGGCAATCTTCAGCAAAACTCCCCAAAGCAAAAGCACAGCAAGGATTAGATTATAGCCCCCAAGTCATGCCAACTAATCTCAGAGGTTCCCAGGCTTCTTGCTTTCAGCACCCCCAAGGGCTCAGTAAGGACTTGCATGGCACTCCTATGTCTAAAGAAATACAGAGCCATTTACATGGTAGCTAGGGTCCTAAATCACTGAATGTGTTTGTGTGCACGGGGCGCCCGGGTGGCTCAGTTGGTTAAACATCTGCCTTCAGCTCAGGTCATGATCTCAGGATCCTGCGATCGAGTCCCATCTCTAGCTCCCTGCTCAGTAGGTAGCCTGCTTGTCCCTCTCTCTCTGCCCCTCCTCCCTCTGCTTGTGCTTTTTCTCTCTCTCAAATGAATAAATAAAATCTTTAAAAAAAAGTAAGTAAGTGTATGCTAAGGGCTTAGTAGTTGTATTTTAAAAATACATGTACATTGAAATTAACAAATTTAGTTACCTTTTTAAAACCCAGCTTAGCAAATAGGACATCCTCAAGCGAAATGCTGACAATGTGAGCTCAAGCTGGTACTTCAGAGTGGCCAACAGATTTCACTGTGCTCCTCTCAAAAACTTAAACTCCCCTGTGACAACCCAGGGGCACGCGGGGATGCCATCTGTGAACTGCAGAGACACAGACTGGATTCCTAGACTGCACAATAAGGGAATGCCACGGTCCAGGGCTGACTCTGCAGACACGGAGGCTCAGGGCGAGGTGCTGTGTCTGCAGCCGGACTGCACCACAGTGGACAAGGGCTGGGAGATGAAGGCCTGGAAGCCACTTCCAGAGTGGTTGAAGAAGGGCGGGGGGGATTCCTCAGAATCCTCGGAACACAGAAGACCCAGAGGGCAAACGAGTCATCTGTGCATCTCAGAAGATTTAGATTCCATTGTCAGTGGCTGTTCAAGAACCAAAGGGTAGATGGTACAAAGAACCAAAGGGTAGATGGTACAGAAAACTCAGCTTCAGGTGAGGAAGAACATTCCATCACTGGGCAGAGTAAAGCAACAGCACAGCTGGCTCTTCCAGGCTGCAGGGCCTCCATCTGAGGCAAAGTCAGGGCTACTGTCAGGGCCTCCCTCGGTGGGGGTGGGGGTGCAGAGGGGGTGGGAGACACGTTTCACTAAGTTATCTCCACGAGATCCCTTCATTTCTGAGAGGTTCTGCTGTCAAGTGCAATAACAATTTAAATAGCCACATCTGTCTGCGTATCGCTCCTCGAGGGAGAAGAACAGCAATTGCGAGTATTAACGTCAAGGTCAAAACAATATCAGAGAGCAATGAGAAGTAAGTAGCTCTGAAAAATAAGGTGAATAAACGTTCACATTTACAAAAATGTGACCTGTGCTGTTTTCTAGAAATGTCCTGTCAAAAAAGAAGGAAAGGAAAGAAAGGCACAGGAAGACCTCCTCTCAGTGATCCCTGTATGCAGCGTCCAGCAGACATTTCTGGAGCGTCACTATGGACCAGGAACGGGGTGGTGCCTACCCTTGCTTCCTGACACTCTCACCACAGGACCCCATCCTTCCCGAGCCTCTCACGTCCCTTGAGCCTGGAACACCACATTGCTGGTGTCCTTCCTCTTGTTAGTCCTCTCCTCGTGCTGGCACTCTCAAGGACAGGTCCCTGGTCATCTCACTCCCTCTGGCTCCCTGACCGTCCTGTCCACGGCCATGGATGCAGCCAGATTTGGGTGCTGTCCACATGCGGAGTGTCTCTCCAGCTCCGTTGCGCAATGGCCTCAAGGAGCTGTGGACGCCTTGCCTGTTGCCTACTTAAAGCTGACCTCACCAGCACTGCCCAGACCTGCTCTTGCCTGTGCTCCTACCCCAGGAAATGATGCCAACAAGTATCCAGGAGCCCAGGCCAGAAATATGCCCACCACCTGAAATCCATCTCCTCTCTCCTCTGAATGTCTTCATTCTCATGATTCTATGGTCTTTCCTCTGCCCCTGGCCAGTCCTCTATCCCATGGCCAGAAGGAACTCTCTAAAGCATAGGTCTGACCAGGGGCCCCTGAGGCTGAAAACACTCCAATGACTCCAACCAAAATCCACACTCCCGCCCTTGGTTTGCAAGGACCTTCCAGTTTCAACTCCTATAAACCTCCTCAGCTTCCTGACTCCCCTGTGTGTTCTCCGCAGCCAGACCACATGGCCAGCCCTCCAGAAGCACCAACGCTCGATCACCCAGGCCTTTAACCACTGCCTGCTTCTGCCTCTGGAAGCTTCTCCTGACTCCCTTCCCCCATTCCCAGCTGGGGCAGGTCCCCTTGACTGGGCGGGCCCCGCAGCATGCAACCCACCTGCCTGAACTGCTAGTTCCCACGGTCTTCAGTCTCTGTACTTGGCTTAACAACCTGATGTAGCAGGAGATCAATCCCCGTTAGCATCTGCTGAGTGAATGAGCTCATGTCTTTCTCTCCAACTGCTATAGCGAGGGCAGGTCAGGTGCCATGTGGTGGGACAGAAAGATGCTCAGAAGCCCAGCTCTGAAAGCAACTCACGTTTTTGTGGGGAATGACGTGTGGGATATACTGCAGGATCAGCTGGGCCCGTTTACGGTCCTTGTCCAGTTCTTGGAAGAGCACACTAGGTTTGAGATCCCTTCAGAGGAAAGGCATGGGTTTGGGGTTATTACAACACGGAAACCATTCTCTAGCGCAGGAGTGGCCAACCACAGCCTGCTGCCATTTCTGTAAATCCACTTCCATGGAACACGACCACTACGTCTGGCTGCTTTCACGCTACAATAGCACAGCAGAGCACTTGCAAAACAGACCATCTGGTCTGCTAAGCCTGAAATGTTTACTGTCTGGCTCTTTACTGGAAGCATCTGCCAGACCCCGCTCTAGTGCCACAACCTCAGAGTGGACACATCATTGATTAAAAATGGCAGTCATCTTACATTTAGTTGTTGCAAGAGCATTTCCCCACCCCATCCCCGAGAAAGCTAGCTGTTTTGTCCGGCTCATTTTGCTGATAAAAACCACCGCTGAACTATTGCAACCTGCTGCTCGGCTCAGCCAGAACTTGCTCCCCATTTGCGAAATGGGACTCGGCTCTGTCACCATGAACCCACTCTCATCACCTTCAGCGTCCACACGTCCTCACAGATGTGACTGCTGGGCGTCTGTCCCCCAGGAGGACAGGGCATGCAGGTGGGATGAACACCCCCCCAGCCTTGGAGCATGAATGCAGAGTGTGACAGAGGGGACTCTGGCTTTTGTGAACCCCCCTTCTGTGCCCTGCTCCTCACTTGCGTAGCCAGTGGTCCTCAGGGGCGAAGCGACGCCGGCAGTCCCGCTCATAAAGCACCATCAGCCACCCGTGCACGGACTGGAACAGCTCCAAGGTCTCCCCCTTGGCGTTCTCTGTGGGGCAAACGAATGGGGGAGCCGCACACCTAGAGTTGGTCAGAGCCGGTGGGGGGGGGCAGGAGGACAGCTTCTCATCTCTGCCCGTCACCAGGCCCCACCAAGGTCCTCATCTCCCTCACTCTGGATTTCACGCAGCAGCAACAAACTAAAAGGCACCCTGGGTATGTTCTAGGAGTCTACAGGACCTGGGTGTCCCAGACACAATCACTCATGCTGCCTCCCACTAACAGGTGATCCAAAGACCCTTTTAACCTAAGAAGCTTTGTACTGAACAACTTGCCAGCACTTCAGGAGGGGAGCTCTGGTTTGAGGTGTGCCCTGACATATCATGGAAACTAATTCGAAGGAGCAAAAGGAGAGGCAGGGTGAAATCCTGGCATCAATAATCCTCCACACATACACATACATGCTGAGGGGAGATCTAAGACGACCTTCACATAGAGCGAAGAAGTAAAACTTCCAATTACGTGAATAAATATGCCTTTCCAATTTGCTGTGATGGGCAATAAAGCTGAGAATCAGTTGGTGGTACAGACTGCAGCGTCCCTGCATGTGTAGCACCACTGAAATGACCGCCGGCTTCTTTACCTTACCTACGATTCCATCCCAGATCATCTTAAACACAAAGGAGTTCAGGAAAGAGGAGATGGTGACCAGCTCTTCCAGTTTGAATGAAATCTGTTCTTCATAAACTTCAATGTCGTCAAGAATCCTAAATCAGATGGAAAATTAGTCACAGCTTCCCACGGAGGAAAGGGGGGAAAATAGGAAATCTCCATCTCTTACGAGAAAAAAATTAGCTCAAGAAATAAACTTTACCTTTCAGATAAAATTTAGAGCTAACACGACAGGATGTGTAGTATCTGCTTCAGGATAAGGCGGAGGTGGCAGGGAAGCAGAGGTGGCCGAGTGCTAATCACTGTGGATGGGTAGGTGGGGATTCCTTCTACTATTTCCTCCGCTTTTTATTTATTTGCATTGTCCATAGTAAAAATTTTAAAAATATAATTGAGACAGGAAAACAGAAGCTCTCCTTTGTATCTTTCTTATTTATAAGGATCCGACTGTGACACCCTTAATTCCTGCCTGAACTCATGCCTATTTGAGGACTCTTGATTGAGAGTCTGGGTCTACTGAGGGGAGAGCTGTGGAACCTTCCTCTGCATTCACAACAGCCACATAAACAAAAGTATTTATGAGGGAATGAATGAATGCCTAAAAGAACATGTGAGGAAATGAGCCATTTAAGATACAGCTCTATGTGAAAATTTCCCAAGGCTGCTTCATTTGCAGCAGAGAACATGACACGCTCTCAGATCATGCTGGACCCAGCCATTCACAGAGCCCTGAGCTTGCCTCCAACAGCTCACCAAGCCCCTCCCTCCATGACTCTTAGCCAGTCTGCCACCTCCAATTCCTGATCTCCTCCTACCGACCAATGTCTTCTACCCTGGACAAAACTGTCTGGCGCCCCTTCTCTCTTATAATTCTTTACCAACCTCTGGGAAAACGTGGTATTAAAAAAGAATTAAACACAAAAGTAGACACACAAGCTTAAAAAACAAAGGAACTTAATGGGACTCACATTTGCTATTTCCCTGCTCTGTCCCAGTCACTGTACCTGAGAACTTGACGTTCTTTTTCTCATTTATTCCCTATCAGGTTGCCAATATTATTCCCATTTTAAGGAAGGAAACCGAAGCTCAGGGAAGTTAAGCAACTTGCCTAGGGTCAGCTTGAGAATAATAAGCATCACAGCCCTTCCTGTGTGCCGGGGACTCTGCCTAGCACTTTGTTACCTCTTTCAATCCTTACCACACGGCCAAGAGGCATGGGCTACTGTTGTTCCCATCTACAGATGAGAAAACGGAGGCTCAGAGAGGCGAGGCCCCCTTGCCCAAGGTGTCTCAGGAAGTGGCAGACCCAGGATTTGCCTCCCAGCTCCCTGGCTCTGGAATCTTCCAGGGAACTACCTAACCCAGTGAGTAAATGGTGGAGGTGTGACTTGAACCCAGCTCTGGGAGACCCAGAAGGGGTCTGGGTCATCCACTAGTAGGATGGGAACTAAGAACTGCTGAACCCCGTTATGTGCTGCCCCACCTTGTACTGTAAATGTTTTCTGCTCTAACTTTCCTAATGACCCTGCCACAGGGGTCCGAACGATGGCGATAACCACATCGGCAGCAGCTTCCTTACTGACACTGTGATTTGGCTTCTCCACATTCTAGGAAAGGAATGGAGCCCCACAGCAGTCAACCTACGTGATGAGGTGCCGGGAGCAGTCACAGAACAGCATCAGCATGGCCAAGAGCTGCTTGGACTCTTCAGTGTCATTGCTGAGGCATTCCAAGAAGAGCTTTAACCCTCCGTGGGGCCCCAGCTCACAGATAAACGCCCACAGTTTGGGGAGCAGGTCATCAAGGTAAGTGAGACCTGGAAAAGGACAGAGAAACCCAAGCTTCAGGTGGGGGCTCTATTTGGTCCACAGTTTCTCCTACCCCCTGGGGGAACAAAACACTTATCCTTCTCAGTGGACATTAAATGTGCACAAAAGAAAATCGTTATCACCACGACAGTAATAGCTAACATTTCATGGGTGCTTTCTAGGTTTCAAATGTCGATCTAAGTACTCTGCATGCATTATCTCCTTTCTATCTTGTGAAACCCAATGTTACCTCCATTTTATAAGAGGAAAAAAAAAAACTGAAGCAGGGAGAGGTTAAGTAATTAGCCCCAAATCACCCAGCCGAGCTAAGAAGAGAACCCATGTCTATATGACTCTGTGTTTTTATTTTAAATCAGGGATCAGGGGGCACCTGGGTGGCTCAGTGGGTTAACGCCTCTGCTTCAGCTCAGGTCACGATCCCAGGATCCTGGGATCGAGCCCCACAGCGGGCTCTCTGCTCCGCAGGGAGCCTGCTTCCCTTTCTCTCTTGCTGCCTGCCTCTGTGCCTACTTGTGATCTCTCTCTGTCAGATCAATAAATAAAATATAAAAAAAAAATCAGGGATCAGCAAATTTTTCCTGGAAAGGGCTGGAAACTAAGTATTTTTTAGCCTGTGTGGGCCTGGGCTGGCACCCTGTCACACTACTCCAAGCTACCAGCGTAGCATAAAAGCAGCCACAGACGATATGTAAATGAATGGATGGGACTGTATTCCAATAAAACTTCATTTACAAAAAACCAAGTGGTGGGCCGCAGTTGGCCCCCAGGCTACAGTTTGCAGACCCTGCTTTAAACCATCTTTCAGAGTCATCTGTATTTAGCAAAGCTTTCCTCTCCTCTACTTCTATTATTCTATCTCTGCTAAAAATGGGAGAGTAACGAATGACGGTAGCGGAGATCCTGTGAAGTGTCACACGAATATTTAACCCTGGGTGAAGCAGAAGACATTTTAGATCTGCCTCATGATGGCCTCAAGGCCTCAGACACACAGGCTACATCGCTGTTACATTTTAAGTCTGTTAATATAGCTACTGATTCAGAGAGCCTGGCTCTAAACTTCCACATGTCTCTGAACACACAGTCAGGTGTGTGCCTCAAATTACTCCTCATATTTGAGTCCTTAGAATACCTCTCATTTTACAGAGCATTCTTGAATTACTTAATCGTGAACAAAGAACTGCTTGGAGAAGATATATCTGCCTGCAGCAAGGGCACAATGACAGACTCAATCAATGCTGGTATAAACGCTTAGACTAGGGAGGCCGGAAGGAGCCGCAGAGAAGGCAAAGAAACGGAATGCCCACTTAGTTATTATTCCTAACGGTTTGAGCCCACATTTTCAAGGTAGCAGAATGTGGTTACAGAATGCAGAAACCAAAAAGAAAGAAGAATGCAGAAGCCTCGCAATTTAGAAATAGATTAAGAGAGAAACAGAGTGAGTAGTTAAACCGTGGAGACCACGAATATGCTCCCATGGGACAATCAGGAAGAACAACTACTCTCACATTATGTGAACGGTCCTCAAGGCGTGGATGAAAATACTCACTGCCAGCCCCGGACACAGATCCAACCAGCGCTGCTCCTGGGGGCAACTCCCCCAGAAGCGAAGATGCAGGGCTCTGGAGAGCTCTGCCAGGAAGCAGAATGTGGCTCTGGGCCACCAAGTGCACATGAGGAGCATGAGCAAAGAAGTGTATTATCTTCTACAATCTGCTTTGCATGTTGATGGACAGACCGAATATTCTACAAACAGTTTAGACTAGTTCATCTCCTTCTTAAAAGGAAAGATTTTCAAGTTAGCCAGGAAAACATCTTTCTGCGTGCTCTCACAGGAACAGGGGGTGCCTGAATTCGTGGTCACCTTAAAATGCTGAGCACAGGCCATGAACTCAAAGTCACGTCACTTTAATATGCTTCTCAAACTCTCACAGTGGGTGCTGGGGTGCCAGGCCTGGTCCGGGACCCTATTCATCTCTTTCTGAATTCTCCTGATGGAGCCTGCCCTGGGCCCAAGGCTTTACATGACACCCCTTTGTCTGTACCCACAGTATACTCACGTGCCTGTGTGGCACCTCATGCTTCTCAGAGCGGAACAGAACCCCACCAGCCCCACCCCAGCTGGTTGTCTCCAGCTCAGCAGATGGTACCACCATCCAGGAAGGCTGCTTGGGCCAACACTCTGGCCTCATCTTTGAAGCCTTTAGCCTTTACTCCTCCAACTCCAATGGACCTGTCAGACCTGCAGACACGACCTCTAAAACATACGCCAAGGCCCCTGCTTCCAGCCTCACCACACCAGGCCTGTGCTATTCAACCAGAGACCGTGCTGCCCCCAGGTGGCACCTGTCAGTGTTTGGAGACCAGGAGGGCTGGCACAGCTGGGGAGGGGGAAGCACTACTGGCATCTCGGAGTAAGGGCCACTACCCTGTAGTGGACGAGATGGCCTCCACAGCAAAGAAGTATCAGGCCCAAGATGTCAGCAGTGCTGAGGCTGGGAAAGCCTCCTCTAATCCAAGCCTGCACTGTCTCCTTACTTCTGAGGTCACAGAGCAGAAAGAATTCTAAAAAAAGTAAAAAAAAGTAAATACTCTTTTCCCTTGCGTATAGCTCACCTCCCCACTCTTAGAATCCTCCTGGGAAAGGGACCCTGGCTGTCTTAGTCACCTCTTCACTCTCAGGGCCTGGCACAGACAGGTGCTCTGTTACTGTCTGAAGATGAACAAGTATGTAGAAAGGACAGAAGTAGTGGCTTTAACCCTTTATGTAGTCAACAGCTTTATGGCCTACAGACTTTCTGTCCTTCGCCATACTGTTCATATGAACAAGTCCTGCATGGCCGTGGGAAGCCCCAAATGCCCACACTCTGTGTTCGTGACACAAACGGCCTTCTTCCTTGCTTGGCTAAGAAGGAAAACAACAGGCACATCCAAGTGATGGTCAACTATGAGGTCAACAAAAATGGAATTCTGGAAGAACTGCTCACAATGATAAAATGCTTCTAAAGTGATGAACAGAAAGGGAAGGGTAAACTATGCATTTTCATCTAAACATACGTGTATGTGGATGTGGTACCCTCAGGAACAGGTGGTTATCCTTGGCCTACAGGATCAAATACGGTCTAAGTTTTCTTCTTTCTTGTCTTTTCCAGTTTTTCATTCAGAAAAAGCGCTACCTTCCGAAAGCAAATGCATGGAAATACAAGCCAGGTCACAGGAATGAACTGGCAGCGCTGGGACGGAGGTCAGTCTGAGCCATTTAACGGATGTGTATCAGCCTCTAAGAAGAACAGCTCAAAATACCCTCCTTCAAAAACCTATCTTCCGAGCCAAGAAAGCAGGAAGAAAATCCACTTTTTCTAAGAACAATCATCCACCAAATGTCAGAGATGGACAAAGACGCCCCAGGACTGCACACCTGTGAGTATCTGCAGGCGGATCTGGGTCAGAGTCGTCAGCGAGGTCTGGTAGAGGACACAGATGTTGCAGACCTTCTGGACCTCTGCAGAGTCCACACGCTTACCCCCAACAGGCCTGAGAATATTCCGAACGGATGCAGACTTCTGAAACGCACGCTTCAGGAGATCTGGCATGGAGAGGAGAAGGAATGTGTGAGCAGACGTTCAGCCATCTGCCCGGTTTTATTCTGCAAAGAGCATTTCAATAAAGTGATTTACAGCCAGGGCTGGACAGTGGGGCGGCTGCTCTGACTCAAGTTCTCGCTCTGGGATAAATGAGAAAACCATTAACAATAGGCTTTTAGGTGCAACCCAGAGACCTCTTCAGAACACCACAAAGTATCTCAGACCAAGCCAGGCCTATTCGACTCCCACACAGGATTCTTTCACCAGGTCACCCGACCTCAGAACCACAGGGTAAAAGTCCGGAGGATGATATTAGGGGAAGATGGGCGAAGACGGAGGGGGGTGGGGGTGGTCCTGGGGGATTCCCGGTTCTGGGCTTTAAGGGAGAAGCAGTATCAACCTCAAGTAGGTTTGGGTTGGCCAAACTCGGTTTGGGTTGTACTCGACTTCAGTTTTAGACCTTCCTGTTTACATTTCCATCCTGCTGAAGGGACACTGAGCTCCTGCTCATGGACAGCTGCACGATGGGGCTCCGTGCCACACTGGAAGAAAAGTCACCCTGAACCTGGAAATCTGCCACAGGCAGGTGACTCCACCAGATTCCGTGTTAGTGGCATTTCCTGAACTTTTCTCAGAGAGGGCAACAAGAAACCTTTCCACAGAACCTATGACTAAGCAAAGGGGCAATGTGGGGGTGGCCTGGTCAGTGACCCAGCGTCCTCTGCATACAGACCCCCACATGGGAGATTTTCATGAATAGGGAATCAGAAAGGGTCCACTTCCCCTAAAAAATGGGCCTTCCTTCTTTGTGTTAATGAGTAAGAGAAGATCCACAGACCCCCTTTCATTCTAGCTAAGAGAAATTCTGAGCCAAATGGAAGTTCACAGACCCCACTGCAGCCCTGAGGGAACATCCATAATCTCTACACATGATCGTGGTCTGGGTCACCTATTTGTTTCCCTGGTCCTTGTTTCCTAGCCCTAAGGGTTTTCTGTTGCTCTTTTGCTAAATGTGAACTTTGCTGAAGCAATCTTAAAGCCTGTGTGGGAGAAGTTCGAGTGTCACAGAAGTGGAGGGGAGCAGGCACACAGGGACAGCAGGAGCTGCACCTGAGCTAAGCAGACCCACGGGCTCCCCCCGGCCCAGCCACTCACTCTTCACAGGAAGCACATTCTGGGGGGATGCTGGCTGCACATGGGCTGGCTCCTGGTTCTCCAGCAGCTTCTTGCTCAGGATGTCACTAAAGAAGATCCGGATCAGAGGCACCCCCCACAGGAACTGCAGCTGCTTGGTGATCAAGGGCATGGATTCGTTAAGGCTAGGAGAGAGCAGGAGACCAAGCATGTCAGTTCCACCTGACGGATGGCCACCGACAGCCCACTTAGCTCCTAGTGGGCCTTCCACTCGGGAGGGCTGGGCTACGGCCTGCCAGTCAACATGGCAAATGAGAGGATAAAAAAGAGAAATGGAATCCACAGATGCCACCAAGGACCTAGATGCATAAGGCAATGTCCTCTTGGTCTTCTCTGCCACCCTTCCCAAGCTTCCTGTGCCGCCGACAGCATTCCTACTCAACCCAGGGCCCCAGGCTCCCCACGGCACAGTCCTCCCGACACCCGGGCTCTGTTCTTCATCCTGACCCCACCCATTCACCACCCAGTCGACAAAAGCTAAATGATGCTTGCTATACTGTCTGTCCTCTTCTTCACACCTAGACTGCAGGCTGGCCTGTAAGTCTCTGTAACCCCCAACCTCCTAAGAGTCTCCTTCCCTTCAAGTACTCCCTCCCCCACTCCACGCAGTAGCCCCAGCATTAGACTCACACCTGAAATCTGCCTACTTTACCTCCCGGCTCTACATTCCATGAAGGCTCCTGTAGGCTCCCAGTATCACAGGAGAAAGAGCCACCACCCACGAGCATAGGCCAAGCCTAGAGGCAGGCCCTTGACATGCCTTATCTCATTTGATCCTCGAAACAACACTATCCAAGGGACTGGGACTATTTCCCTATGTTTCAGGACTGGAGAGTGGGGTAAAGTGGCTTGTCTAAAGCCCCCCAGAGCAGACCAGACTGCACAGTGCTGTGTTCCTCTGCCCCTCCTGCCTCCCATACTATCCCTCCTGTGTCCCAGTCACATCATGCTCCATCCTCTTCAGGCTGGGGTCTCACATGGGGGCCTGCCACCAGCTGGTCAATTGTCTTTCCAACTAGACGGCTCTCAGACATGAGGAAGAGACGCAATCTGGGGAATTCCTTCCCTGCTCCTCTTTCTTTGCTTCCAGGGCAGCTTCCAGGGACCTAGGCAGATATCTGAACAGAAAAATAGCTGGGAGCCACAACCGCCTTCACTCCTAAGACCCGCCTCATCTCAGTGAAGGGTACAGGTTTCACTTTCAAATTCATGATGCCGTCTTAATTGCTCTCTTCTTGGCTAGCATTTTTAATGTTTTTGAGTTCTGTAATTAAAAATTTTTAAGTTGATATTCCACCTCTTGAAAAGGATAAGGTGACTTCTATCCCCTTTCAATCATGTATCTTATTTTAGCATCTCCAAAGTACAACAGTCTAGGGAGTCAGGAAAAGAGATATTGAAAAAGAAAAAATAGTATTGACAGAGGGGATTCACAATTTACTAAATAATTAAATACAAAATAAAATGACCCCCAAAGAATTGCTGATATTTACAGGTAAAAAAAAGAAACTGAAGGGATATTCACGTGGGTAGTCTCAGGGTAGTGGAACAATGGGGTGGTTTTTATTCTCTTTTGGTCTTATCCAGATTTTATTCAATAAATATATATTACTTTTGTAACAGACAACACAACGTCAAGCTGGAAGAAGGAGGGAAGGAAGGGGGAGGTGGTGAGAGGCAGGCAGGGGACAGGAAAGACAGCAGTTTGCCCCCAGGACTCACCCATAGTCCACTGACTGCGAGAACCAGCCAAGGACGGGGTGCCAGTGTGTCAGGTTGGACTTCTTCTGGGACACGTACTTCTGACAGTAGCACAGCATCTGGGTGAGCAAACTCACGAACCCGTCCGTCTCCTCCTCTAACACCCTGGGGCTGAGGGCACCCAAGTGCAGGAGGTTGCCTACAAACAGAGTGTGGAGAAAGCGGAGTGTGGCGGGGCCGGGTGACCTGCTGCGTCACCTTCACAGCCCTGCTCTCTGCCCAGGGCTCTTGCAACCATGTCCACGTGCAGAAACAAACTCCACGCAGAGAGGTGCCTGGCTTCAAATCCCGGCCCTGCTGCAGAGGAGCTGCGTGCTCCTCAACTTACCTCTCCGATCTGTTTCATAATTCTAAGACTGGAATAAGGCTCCCCCCTCCTGAGGTTAGGATGACGGGAAGTAACATAAAATGTCAGAACCACAGAGGTATGATCTTTAGTGAAGTAACACTTCACTATTACACTAAGATATAAAGATCAAGTCAGTGTAAAAGGACCTCTGGAAGGGCATCTGAATGTTCTGGGAAATCACTGTTCAACGCTCATGGAAGTTATTTAATATGCCTCGTGTGTGGACTCTCACCATAAACTCTCTTAGAATTTTGCACAAGAAGCTTTTTCTATGTAAAATAGCTTCTAAGCAATGAGAATTACGTACCACTGTTGATTTCAAATGCTTCTCTCCGTTTGCTCCTGTCCTGTCTTCAATCACAAGGAAAACGTTAAAAAGATGATGCAGACCCTATTGTGATCTAACACCCCCGAACTGGGCCTGTCCTCCTTTCTTGAGAGAATTATCCAGGTGATTCATCGCATTTTCATTTTTCCCTTGGCTGCCAGGAAGCCGAGCACCGAAATTCAACATTCATTTATAGTTACTCAACTAGGTTGCCAGGCTGATATATTTTCCATTGATTTTCTATTTTATGTGTCTGTTTTATCTACCTGATTACATGTCTTTTAAGTACTTCCAACTGTTACTAAAAACAACTCATGATCTCCAGAACAGTAAAAAACAAACACACTTGGACTTTTCCCGACACCCAGAACACAGTCAAATTCCAGCCACGGATCCTCACCCATTAGACAGAGCGTATGGCATCCTTCTAAGCTTTCACATACATCACGGCATCGATCTTCGTTTCTTAAAAATGTGATGAACTTACGAAGCATGTCATGAGATTCTAAAACAGTGAGGCGCTGCAAACAATTATAGATGGTTAGAGTGAGAGCTGACAGGAGGAATTTCCCACCAGAGCATGACCTTGATGGCTTGCAGATCAACACTTGGATGCCAGACGTGCTCTCCATGGCCAGGAAGAAAGTCAACAAAGATGGGAACCTTGCTCTCTGGCCTGCTAACACGAGTGTGCCTACAGTGGCTACTGGCTTAGAAGAAATCTCGGAAGTGGAAATTAACAGAAAACATTTATTCTCTAATTTTTAAGAAGAAAGGCAAACCCAGACTCGGGGGGACATCACAGAGTCACTTACCTCAGGGGTCACTGAGCTGAGATGAGTCACAAGAGCAGGTACAGACATGACGTGGATGAGGAATGGCCGAATCAGATTGTCTGAAAATTGTGCGGCAATCACAGGGCTAGACACAGACAGATCACCTTATTCACACGGGTTTGTGAGTCACCCCAATTCCAATGCCCCCCAATTCCCCTGGAATTTTGCTTCACAGGACTTCTGAGAAAACTAAGGGTTGATGATGAGGACAACGGCAAGGGGAGTGGCTGAAGCAAGGACAGTATAGTCGTAAGGGTACAGCTACGAGATAGATACCTGTTTTCAAGTTTTACTGACATGAGAGAATATCCATGCTGTAATAAACTTTAAACAAAACAGAATAAGGAACTATGTCCATGGGAGGTGAGGGAGGAGATAATAACCAGGAGGAAGGAAAATACCTTCTGGAATGCTGGCACAATGCTGGGGAGTGGTACTTATGCAGGCGGGTTTACTATGCGATAACTCACCAACGATTTACACTTTGATTAAGCAATTTATTTTAAGTATGCATTATGATAATAATACTTAGATATGTACATACACAGATAAGCCCATAAGTATATACAAGTGAAAACAACCCAAGAAAGATGGATTTTTAAAAAATGTTAATGATGTCTGGGTTGCAGAATCATGAGAGACATTTTTTCTTCCTTATACTATCCTATTTCATCCAGGTTTTATACAATATGCATGCAGTTCTCCATAAAAAGAAAAAAAGATAAATGTTATTAAAATAAAAGAATGACCCTTATACTGCACACCATATATAAAAATTAACTCAAAATGGATTATACACCTAAATGCTAGTTAAAACTAAAACTGTAAAACTCTTAGAAGAAAACACAGCAGTAAATCTTTGTGACCTTTGGTTTGACAATGATTTCTTACATAGGAAAAAGAAAAATCACAAAAATCTGGAGCGCCTGGGTGGCTCAGTGGGTTAAGGTCCACCTTTGGCTTAGGCCACGACCACAGTGTCCTGGGATGGAGCCCTGAGTTGGGCTCCGGGCTAAGCAGGAGTCTGCCTCTCACTCTGCCTCTGCCCCTCCACCTTGCTTGTGTGTGCATGTGCTTTCTCTCTCAAAATGGATGAATAAACTCTTAAAAAAAATTTAAAAACCACAAAATCTAAAACTCTTGGCTTCAAAAGACACCATCATGAAAGTAAAAAGACAACCAGCAGAAAGGGAGGAAATATTTGCAAATATCTCCTGATAAGGGACTTTCATTTGGAACATACAAAGAACTCATACACTTAACAACAAAAGACAACCCAATTAAACAAAGGGCAAAGACATTTTTCTTTGAAAGACATTAAATAGACATTCTTCCAAAGAAAGCAGAGCAAATGGTTGCTAAGTGCATGACAAGACAGTTAACATTGCAGGCCTATTGGTCAAACTGCAGGATCAAAACAACAGGAAGGGATCACCTCACACCCAGGAAGAGGGCTATGATGAAGACGGTAACAAGGGTTGGTGGGAACCTGGAGAATCTGTAACCCTCATGTATTATTGGTGGGAATTTAAGATGGTGAGGCCAACTTTGGAAAAGTCTGGCAGTTCCTCTAAAACTTTAGCACAGAGTTACCACCTGATCCAGCAATTACACTGCTAGGAATACACACAAAATGAAAAACAGGTCCACACGAAAAAGCTACACATGAGTGTTCACAGTAGCACCACTCAACACAGCCAAAAAATAGAAACAACCCAAATGTGGCATAGCCCCACCACAGAATATTACTCAGCTATAAAAACGAAGAACGGATGCATTCTTCTTCTTTTTTTTTTGAGAGAGAGAGAGATCACAAGTAAGCAGAGAGGCAGGCAGAGAGAGTGGGGGAAACATGCCCCCCGCTGAGCAGAGAGCCCGATGCGGGGCTCGATCCCAAGACCCCGAGACCATGACCCGAGCTGAAGGCAGAGGCTTAACCCACTGAGCCACCCAGGCACCCCTGGATACATTCTACAACACGGATGAACACACTGTGCAAAGCGAAAGAAGCCAGGCATGGAAGACCGCACGTTGTAGGATTCCGTTTATGGGAAACGTCCAGAACAAGCAAATCCCAAAGATTAAATAGATTAGTAGTTGCTGGGGACATGGGAGGGGGGAGGGTGTGGGAGTGGGAGGGAACGCGTGTGGCTGGTAATGGCTATGGGGTTTATCTCTGGAATTAGTGGTGATGACTGCACAAGTCTGTGATCTGTAAGAGCGCCTGGGTGGTTCAGTCGTTAAGCGTTTGTCTTTGGCTCAGGTCATGATTCCAGGGTCCTGGGATTGAGCCCCACATCGGGCTCTCTGCTTGGTAGAAAGTCTGTTTCTCCCTCTCCCACTCCCCCTGCTTGTATTCCCTCTCGCTGTCAAATAAATAAATAAAATCTTTTACAAAATAATAAAAAATAAAAATAAAAACCAGTGAACTGTATACTTCAAATGAGTGAAATGTAAGATATGTGAATTATAATTCAATAAAGTTATTTTAAAAAACATCAGAGGTCGTGCAAGAAAAAAAAAAAGAGGTAGAACTTACAGGAGGAAATTGATTATCTTCTAGCTAATGTGCTCCAATGGCAACAAGCAAGTATGTTACCGGTACTTAGACTATCAGAATTTGAATTATAAACTCTCACTGTCAAGGATACCATTTTTGGGACAAGAAAACCACGTACGGCTGAAATGCTCAAAACGCCAGAGCCTCTGTCAACCACCTGTCTAAAGGAGGCTAAACAACCAAGCTAAACTCACGGAGCTGACTTGGACAAAAGAGAATTCTTTAAAAAGAGAATTAAGCTACTTTCTCTACGTTAGAAAGAAGTGTGGATCAGGACTAAGCAATTACCCAGACAGAGGAAAAGCAAACCACAAGAGAATGTCACCAAAACTTTATCACTTCCTGCTTACAAGGGAACAACTGCATCTCCAAGGGGGAGCCAAGAGCAGGATCCCACCCTAAGTAACTCTGCCTGACTGACCAGGAGTGAGGCACTGCAGGACTGTAAGGAGGCTAGTCTCAAAAGACCACACCGACACACCAGACACCCCATTTCCCTCAATGCCTGGTTATCTATAGCCCCAGCACGAGGTCATCAAAATCTTCCTTTAGCCTTGTAGTTGTTGCACTTAAGCCTCAGGTGACAAATCCTACCAGTGTCCTGCCTGTGGTACATTTAGCAGGATGCACCTTATATGCACCTTATATGTGGGTCTAAGTGGTAGGCACGGCAGGGGAGGAAAAGACAAGGGAGGTTCACTGCACAGTGCCCACCAACAGAGAGCTCATTCTGCAACCAGGGAGCGGGATGGGCACATGGGAAAAACAGAAACCAAGCCTGGGCAAACCTGGGGCCTGGGTAATAAATGGAATGAGGAGAATCTGAGAAAGTTCCCACATGCCACAAATTCAACATATATTGTACCTAGAATAAAAAAATGTGTCCAATAGGTGAGGCAAGTAGTAGGAGTAGAGAGCATGGGCTCTGGAGTCAGGCAGCCTGAGTTTAACTCCTGGCCTGCCACTTCCTGCTGTGTGACTGGGGGCACATGGCTTAACCTCTCCGGGCCTTAGCTTCCTCCCCTATAAAACTGAGATTGGAGAATATGGTAAGTAGTCAGTTAATGTGAGCGGGAAGTCTTAAAACAATCGTGCGGCCCATGAATGTTAGCTATTTGCAGCATAAGATTTGGTGATTATATCTAAACATACCATTTATAGTTTTGCAGACTTTCAGTAGTATACTCTAGTATGCAAAATTCACTAGTTATCTTGTTTTAAAAGGTCCTGGTCATTTTCAATTACATACAGATATTCAGAGGGGGGTGAAAGGTGCACTGTTGAAGAAAAGAGCTTCAGAGCATCCGGGCCTTCACAAGTGAGCCAATGGACTCTATCCTAGGGGGTGAAAAAACCTAAAACGCTGGATGCCACTGTATTCTTAAGGGAGAATAAACATGCTGGAACAGCTGGCTGTGACCCTCTTGGTGAATTACACCATGAATTACTACCCTCTTGGGGCAGGGGAGGGAAACTGGAATATAAGGAAAGATCTGTGTTCTCAGGAGACAGAGGAGGAGGCAGAGCTGCTGTTGCTGCTGCCCCAGAGCTCAGGCATCCATGTGTCAGTCCTTTGCTGTCCCTGACAGAGCAGAGGGTGGGTGATACTGGAATGAGCCGCCCCAGAAGTTGACTCAGGAAAAGAAGTTGCAGGAAACCTCCCGCTGGAAAACCTACTTCTACCTACATCCTATGACTCATTAAATATAACTCCTTTCAAGGTCTGCGAGGAAGGTATAATTTACTAAATAACCTGGTCTACCTCTGGAACTAATTATAGCATCACTGGCTGACACCTGCTCCTCTGTCTTAAGGATCTCACCTCTAGAAACATGATGTCCAACGCAGTAGCCAGTGGCCATGTGTGGTTAAAATGTGGTTAGTTCAGCGACAGATGGGCTTTAAGTATAAAATCCACCCCAGGTTTCAAAGACTCAGTATGAAAAGAAAGAAACTATTTTTTTTGATGGGTTTTAATTTTTTTAAGATTTTTATTTATTTATTTGACAGACAGACATCACAAGTAGGCAGAGAGGCAGGCAGTATGGGGGTGGGCGGGGGGAGCAGGCTCCCTGCTGAGCAGAGAGCCCGATGTGGGACTCGATCCCAGGATGCTGGGATCATGACCTGGGCTGAAGGCAGAGGCTTTAATCCACTGAGCCACCCAGGCGCCCCGAAAAGAAATTATTAAGTTTATAATTTTAACTAAAATAAATGATCTAAAAGCACTGACTTGGACGCCTGGGTGGCTCAGTGGGTTAAAGCCTCTGCCTTCAGCCCAGGTCATGATCCCAGCATCCTGGGATCGAGTCCCACATCGGGCTCTCTGCTCAGCAGGGAGCCTGCTTCCCCCTCTCTCTGCCTGACTCTCTGCCTACTTGTAATCTCTATCAAATAAATTAAATAAATAAAAAATTTAAAAAAAATTAGAAAAAAAAAAGTACTGACTTCATGTAGAAATGATTATATTCTAGATATACTTGTCTACATAAAATAGATTACAATAAAATTACATAAGATTTAATTTCCCCTTTTTTTGGACTTTTTAAATGCAGTTCTTACTATATTTCTATTGGACCAGGCTGTTCTAGACCAGCTTTGTCCAATAGAACTTTCCATGATGATGGGAATGTTCCTTATTTGTGTGGTCCTTAAGGTCATCACTGCTCAGTCACATGTGGCCCAGAAGCACTTGAAACATGGCGAAACGAGGAACTGAATTCTTAATTTTAATGTATTTCTAACAGCCCTTGGGGATCAGTGGACAGCATGGTCTTGACCAGTGGCTCACATATGGTTCACAGACTAAATTCTGCTCACCGCATATTTTTCTAAATACAGTTTTATTGAAACACAGCCCTTGTCGCTTGGGTATGTACTGTCTAGGCTGCGGTGTGCTGCAGTGGCAGGGTGGCTGTGACAGACACTATGTGGCCCACAGAACCAAGAATGTGTAGAAGCTGGCCCCTTACAGAAACAGTGTGCCAACCGATTCTCTAGAAGATCATTTTCCAAAACAGTATTCCGTAGAAAAGGACTCCATGAGACATTAACAGACACGCTCCAGCACTGAAAATTCAGGCGAGGTTATTGCACATTCAGGAAGGTTCAGGCCAACATCAGATTAAACAAGCCCAAAGGTTCCTGAACCGCCAGACTTGTCGAGAGCTTCCCGTGGTTAAGTGCCCTGTGGATGAGCAAGGGGGGCAGAGCAGAGCACTCTACCAAGCTGATTTGATCACAACACTCCCTCTGCCCTAAGTTTATTATTATCTTGGGGATTAAGGTGATTGGGTTACCTTATTAACCTCTTCCCCCAAGTTAGTGCTGCTTTTGACAGTTTAAGAAAGTTCCGGACCCAAACAGACCCAGCTCTGTGTACCTGATGATTCTCAGAATTGCAGGCATCATTTCCACAGGGAACTAGTTAGCTTCTTACATATTTTCTATCTCCTAAGTGAAGGCAAACAGCACTTCCTCTCTGGGCCTCTAGATTCGAGCATTTTAAACCTGTGTTCACAACACTACTCTCTTAACCCTCTGCTTGGCCCTTTGCTGGGCCTCCTCCAGCTCTCAGGTTCTATTAAAAGCTCAAAAGGACAAATGCTTTTATCTCAGGCCCTTGGCACAATGAAAGCAATTCACTTTGAAAAGCTTCCTTTGAATCATGATGAAAAACCTCAGGGGCACAGACAGAAGAGCTGCCACAGATGGTCACCATCGGAAGAACGACACTTCCGGTGAATTCTGATAAAGCAGGCAAGCCCACACTGAACATAAGGAACAGGAGAAAAGGAAAACAAGAGGAGGAAGCCTCTCGAAGCGTGCCAACCCCTCAGCCAGCGTCTGCTACTTACCGCAGCGCTAGAGAAAAGGTTGCAGTTAAAGTGCCTTTGGACAGACAAGGCCGGGGTCTCGCCAGGCCACGGGTTAACAGTACCTGAAAAAGAACATTTCAACTGCTCAGGGGACAACGCCAATTATATATTCACTTGTATGTAAAAAAGCAGCATGGAAGTAAAATGAGGGCTTCAGATAAAAAACTATTGGAATTTTTCTGAAAATTCTTCTGAAAAGAAGGGAGAGCAAAGTAAGGGTTATCGCCTTCATGACACCACACCATCTCTCAATATGTATTTAAAATTTTGAAATAATAAAGAGCTAAAAAAGTTTACAGCCAGTGAAAATACCAGACTTAAATCTCATTTGTGTGTTCTTCCCGTATTCTGGGATCCAGAAGCTTCTCTCACGGAGATGAATGGCTGATGACACCACCTCTGGCCAGCAAGCCAGCTCACAGGATTTGTGTGAGGAGAAAAGGCAACCCAATCAAGAAGGAGGCGGCCCATCTCAGTACCAGGCAGAAGGGCGGGCTAAATCAATGCTACTTCTTAAACTCAACAATCCCAAAGTATTTTTAAACAGTGGTTAGAGTTCTGACAATTCCGTGGGGGTGTGAGCTGGCATAGTAAAGGGCGGTGTGGACAGAAGGTGTTTGAAGACACAGCAAGAAAGGTAATTCCAGACACCACCCAAGAAGGAACCCAAGGGAACCAAGCCCGGAGGCGTCCTTCCCGACTTTAAATGTCAAGTGACTGGGTTATTCCTGGAGCCAAAGATGGAGCACAATAGAGGGATCCCTGGGCCACTGACACAAACCACAGGGGACTCAAGGGAGGGGAAGGGACAGGATGCCAGGACTTAAACTCCTCTTGCAAAAAGGTTTCTGTGGGGAAGGCACCAGATAGGCCAAAGAAATCAGTTGTAAAAATCCAAGTTCAGGTAGGGAAGAACAAGGTCCCATGATAAGGCATGGGGTCACAAACCTGCAGCACAGAATAAAACCCACGCTGGTTGAGATGTCCCATGATGTTTGCACAAATGTGGTTCATGGCTGGCCGAAGACTCTCCCCTAAAATGAACAAAAAGAAAAAAAGTCTGAGAAGGAAGGCACTGGCCTTACTGTGAACCATTTATACGTGGGACAGAACATCACGGCCCAGGCCCGAGGCCATAAAGGAAGCAGAAACTAGATTTTCTCTGGCTTGCTTTCCTACTCCCATCTTTGGTTTGGTCCTACTGTACAGGGAGAGACCAATCGCCAGAATTCTCTCTCCCAGAAGGTCCAGTTCAGGTGTCCCCTCTTAGGCAAGGAGTCCTATCATTTCCCTGGCCAGAGGTAACACAAAGGGCCGGTAGCACCCTTCCTAATTCCCCCTGAGGGCCTGGCACTCTCTGCTCTCTGTGGCTGCCTTCTCCCTGCACCGGGATAGAGCTCCCTGGAACTCAAGGACAGAACTCACCCAGTTTTAAACCACCCACCAACTCCCCAGCTTTAAAATTACCCCTCCTGGGGCGCCCGGGTGGCTCAGTGGATTAAGCCTCTGCCTTCAGCCCAGGTCATGATCTCAGGGTCCTGAGATCGAGCCCCACATCGGGCTCTCTGCTCAGTGGGGAGCCTGCTTCCCCCCCCCTCTCTCTCTGCCTACTTGTGATCTCTGTCAAATAAATAAATAAAAATTAAAAAAAAAAAAAAGATTCATTTGTTTAAAATTACCCCTCCTTCCTGGCTGGGAGCTTGTGCACATACAGTTGCCTCAGCTCTCAAAGTGTTATCCCTCCCCTTGGCTCTGAAAGCTAACCCTCCCTCCAGCTCCTAGCTCAGACATGGCTCCTGCAGGAGAGCCTGAGCCCCAGACACAGTGAGGCAGGTCCTCCCTGACCCACTGAATGCTCTCCCCTCTTGTAGCCCTCCTTCCAAGCACCACTGGCCACACGTACATGGTTCACAGGTACTGTCTGCCTATTTGCACATACAGTCACAGGTCCGTGACTTCCCTTTGGGGTCCATCCCCCTCTCAGACTCCCCAGAGCTGTGAGGAAGGGCAGACACACAGTTCTTTGGCTGTTGTTTGGTCCTCCCCTTGAGGGCAGCGATCTTCTCGGTCTCTCTGGCGCCTGTATGGTATCTGGCGCCGAGAAGGCTATTAGCCGAACGGAAGGATGAAGCGAACATACAAAACACGTAAGGCTCAGCGCACCCTCTGGGGAAAAGGAGGCAGCTTCACGACACAAAGTTCATGGGCAAAATGGAATTATTTGCTGCTCAATGATCCTGATGTGAATGACAAGGTCAAGCAAATATTATCGACTGGAGACTGAGATGCTAGGGGAGTTTTCAAAAACGAGATCAGAGGGACCAAGCCTTTGAATATAAATGCAAAGAGAGGAGAAATTATTAGAACACTGAACAAATTCTGGATACTGCAAACGCCATCTGATGGAAGTGCCAAGGGCATCTTCATTTGTAGGGTTTTACGTCTCTCCCTGACATACAGCAGCAAACATGCTTCTTAAGAAGGTGAAAGTTCCCCAGGCTCACTATGCAAATGCCACATGGGAAAGGTTTTGTAGCAAGTCCCACAGACCTTTCCCGCGGAGAATTTTCCATGTTGAAGTGTCTGTGAAGGTGACGAGCATCGTGAGGTACAGCGTGACGAGTCTGGAGTCCTGTAAAATTTCGGGCTGGAAACAATAAAGAGACTGAGATGAGACATAAGCCCTCCAGTCTCCCACAGCCAAGCATCCACTCACAACCGGCCTGGATGCAGGCTGGCCTCCAATAAGGGAGTCAGGACTGTCCGAGTTTATCCTTTTCCTTCTGGGAAATGACCCCTTTGGGAGTTAACGGACAGAGATGCTGGTACACTAGTGCTCAAGCATGGAATCTGAAGTGCTCTTGGGAACGGAGAAGAGAATTCTTGGAAAACAGGCTGACTAGAGCTGGCTTGCTGTGTATGTTCATACACAGACATGTATGCATGCGTGTACACTAAAGCCACAATGCAGAAATCCAGCTGAACACAACAGGGGACTCTGGGCTCAGATGGCTAGCTTTACCACTTCCTAGCTGTGTGATTTATTTAGGTCAAGTTGCTTACCCTCTCTGTACTTGTTTCCTCGGCTGTTGATGAAGGAGTAGGACCACTGCTTTCTCCATAAGCTTGTTGTTAGAAATGAATGGATTAAAGTATATAAGGCACTAAGAACAGTGCCTGGCACATAGGTAACTCCATGGAATACTGGCTATTATTATAACCACAATTCATGCTTGTTGCCAGGTCAAGGCCGAGTGAATCATTCACAAGTGCCTTGAGGGAGAGGGCTAGGAATGGATCACTGGGGGCTCTGGGGACCTCTACTCTATCACTCAGCTACGACCCGAGTCACTGCTAAGCCTCTGCCCCTGAAACCTCTCCCCTCATCGTGCAAAGTGAAAACGTCCGCTGTTTCCAACGACTCACACCCTTGCCCACATTCTCCTAACACAAGTGTGAGTACAGGACCAGGAAGGGCCAGTGGCAGTACCCCATCCCTCTTGCCACTGTGACTAGCTCAAGGTTGAGATCAGGTTCCCAGGGTGCCTTTATCAGTCCTCTCAGATTTCTAAACCAATGGGGAATCCTCACTTTTCTTGTTGGTCAAGACAGGGTAAGGATGTGAGGTCAGAACTGCTGGCTACCACGATTTCAAAAGGGAGCAGGGATGAGAAAAAAGGGTAAGGAGAACCCTAGAAGCTCCTGGTTCTGGTCATCTCTGGCTGCCATGCTACAGAGAATATTCTATCAAAGTCTCTTTCTCACTTAGCTTGTATGTATTACTGGCTGCACTGATGTTTGTTATCTGCACTTGCAACAAAAGGCCTGACTGATACAGTAATATAAGCAATAAATTATCCATTGTGTCAAAAGAATGGAAAGAAAGCCAACAGATTCCCAGGGATTGGAGACTGTGGTAAGTGCAGGCCAATGTTCAAAATATTGCACAGAAAATAAAGGCTCATTCTGATAACAGGATCTAACTCGCTCTTTCTGAACAAGGGCTCTAATAATTTCTTACTAGACTCGGAAAAACTTCCAAAGGAATAACCTATGAAGGACTCTCAAAACATGTACTAAAGGCCTCCAGTAAGAGGGTATATTCACAGGTGTCTTGTTTTTACCTTGAGCTGCTCAAGAAACTCACAGCAACACCAAAGAATGTGTTTGATCTGTTTAATCCACAGGAGGGTGAGATCCTTGGAAAGGGCCAGGGACACATACCACACCTATAAGCAGGAGAGAGAGAAATGTAATGGGCAGGTACGGAGACCAAAACACGTATGTTGTAGCTACTGGAAGGGGACCCGTTTGCTAGGTCCAGTGCCAGAGAAGGCAACAGAGATGAACGGGTGAATAAGCAGTGAGTAGGATTTATTTTAACGCTAAACCCAGGGATAAAATAGGCTAGGGAGGGAATTTAGTATCTTGAGTAAGCGGTAAGAGCAAACCATAGCTCTTGGATAATGAAGAGACTTTAAAAAAAAATCAGTTACAGTTCGTTAATGTCTCGAGCTGTTACTGACACACAGGGCTCTGTGTGCCTATGCAAAGCCATACCCAACAAAATCCAAACATTCAGCAGGGATCTTTAGAGCCAAGAGACTGGCCTGAGGGCTTCTGGGAGACTTCCCAGCTCCCATCCCGCTTACCTTGGGCTCATTCTCAGCATCCATGCTGCTCAGGATGTAGCGACACAACTTCTCGAATCTCTGCAAAGAGGCAGAGTAGGGGTTATACACTCGCACAACCAACACTGAGATGGGAAAGAGGCAGGAGTCCCATGGGCACCTGGCACATGTAGGCACTCACACGGTGCCAGGGGACTCACATGTGTGATCGTATTGAATTCCCTCTCACAGATACAAAAACACGATCGGAGAGGCTAACGGAAGGCTCTCAGCCTGGTGGCCCACAGGCTGGATGAGCCGGACACGTGCGTTTTAGACTGGGGCTCCTTTGCAAAAACGAAATCAACCTGGCAATCTGGGCCTGCACTTTTGCAGACTGGCATCTGTCCCCTGAGTGGTGCTCTCCCAGGGGCCATTCTGTAAGCACCTCAGACAGAGACTTCTGCCTCACAAACTGTCACATCATCACTTTTCTCTTGAAATGCAAAAGGAAGGAAAGTGGAAACTAAATTATACTGTCTATACCAACCCTGGATCCACCCTCAAAAGTGCTGTGGTCCTGGGCCGCCACCTCATTAACCAGAGCTATAGTTTCCTCTGTCAACAGTGGTCACCTCACTTCATCTGTCTGTCCTCATCTATGTGTCTGTGTGTCCACTGCCAGCAAACTTTTGCCTCTCTCTAGGCTATGGGCTCCACGGGGCTAGAGACCTTGCCCATCTTGTTTCCTTCCAGACCCCCAGTGCCTTCAGGAGGGTCTGGCACAATGGGATGCTTAGCAGTAATGAATGCCTAACCCCTGGGAGCACAGAGGCACTCCTCAATGCTATTGGGTGTACTGGAACAGACAACTCGCTGCTCTAGGCTGATCACTCTAATCCCAAAGGTGCAACCAATATATTTTGTTTGGTTTATAGGATTTGAAAGGAATTTCAAAGTAGCTACCAATTCTTACTAGCAGGCACAGGATCTCCAGTACCTCCTCTTCAAATGAGAGGAGCAGTCCACCACTGGCTGCAGCCCCAGAGTGGCTACCCACCTTGAGTGGGCATGCCTCGGACCCCATCGCTCCCTCTAATGTCCTCACCATCCTCCATCACCACCACCTCCCTTCGTTACCGCTCACTAGGAATTCTGTTGTTTTGTAAATGGCTTCTTTCACACATTTTCCTAACCTGCCTGGCTCCCAGTTTACATCTGAGTCCAAGGGCTTATCATACTTAATGTGAAAAGAACAGTGATGATTCTCGGAAGCACTGGCCACGATGCCTACAAAACACATCCTAAGAACACAGAAAGGGCAGGATGTGGCAGTCCCAGAGTTTATCTTCGTGGTCTCGCTGTAAGGGCTAAATGAATCAGTATTTATAAAATACTTTAAAAAGATCTGGCCAATGGGTAAGCAGAATGTTCGCTACTATTATTTTACCTCATTATCCTCTTTAATTCTGAACAGGAACAGCAGTTTCCTGGCAATCTTAAAAATACAAAGTGCACTTTTTTTACTGGGCTCAGCATCATCTGCTTTAAAAAACTCATCGATCTCTCTCCTGGGGAAGGAAGGATAAGAAAAAAAAAGACATTTTAAATTAGCTCACAGCAGCTGGAAGACTCTTCAAGAACTGTAAGAGAAAACACCATCTTTTCTTGCTATTAATTGGGAGCAAAGGAGAATGTGCGGAGCCCCTGGCACCCACCTGATTTCTCTCTGCAGCCGGCTCCGACACAGGAAACTCCGAACATGGGCCTGAATCTCAACGGCTGCCCGTTCCCGCTCCTTCTGCACGAGCCTTTCCTCTCGGGCCTGACGGGCCCTATCAATGAACCATGCTCTCGAGGTCTGAGAAACGGTGAACATATTTGCAAACTTGCACAAACCCTGTGGAGAAAATGGTGAGTGGCCTCTGTAGGCCATTATAGGAAACACATGCACAGGAAAGGGGCTCAGGAGCCAAGGGTGGGCAAGCACTGGGGCAACCGTGACCTACTTGGGACCTTTCTGTATCCCCTAAAAAGGCTAATAGCTCTCCTGGCACAAGTCCCAACTTCCTACTGGCTCTTTTCATGCAACTCATCTAGACCAGCCATGCTCTTTCCTGTATTAAATAATTACATCTGCTTAAGAGAAGGAGCACAGCATCTGCCCATAGGGTATGGGCTCTGTAATCGTTTAACAGATGAACCAAGCATGAATCAATTCCATCCATAACGCTCTAATGCAAACCAGGCATCCTCCAGGTCAAAGGTTCCTAGATAATCGAATTCTCTAATTCGATTCTCTAACACTGAGCAGTCAAATTTATTTTTGCCAAGTTAAGACTTGGAAGGGGAAAAGAGAAAAAAAAAAAAAATCAAACAATTATTTACTGTCATTATTTCATTCAGCCATTCACTCGACAAATATTTACTGGCACTTATTTTGTGCCCACCACAAAAGAAACCCTTAATCTTTCTGGAAAAAGGGTCATTTTAATGCTAAAAAAGCTAAATGTGATTCCAGAATGCAAAACAATCTGTTAAATTGAATATATTTGTTTTTATGTACAATTTACTCTGCCATCCTTACTGAACCCATCTTGCCATGGGCTGATGAGGACTCTGGGCCAGAACTCTGCCATCCACTGACTGGCACATTTTGGACAGAGCTTCTCAATTATCCATTACATTTTTATCTAAGTCACCAGTAACTGTCTTTTCCCAAAGTGGTAGGTTTGGCTATCAGCCTAGCGTACACAACACTGGTCCATGGAGGCTCCCACACTGAGAGGTTTTCTTTGGAGGCTCGAAAACTGTCAATCTGTCCCAAATATATAATTAGCCCAGCTGACAAAAAGACTGAAATGGATTACTCAGAAATCCATACCTCCCTGGGAAACAATCTCTTTGCCGTGTTACCTCCCTCAAAGCAGTGCCCAGGTGAAAACACCATCAAGAATAAAAAGCTCCAGGGCACCTGGGTGGCTCCGTGGGTTAAAGCCTCTGTCTTTGGCTCAGGTCATGATCCCAGGGTCCTGGGATAGAGCCCCACATTAGGCTCTCTGCTCAGCGGGGAGCCTGCCTCTCTGCCTACTTGTGATCTCTGTTGGTCAAACAAATAAATAAAATCTTAAAAAAAAAAAAAAAAAGAATAAAAAGCTCATTCAGGGCTCCTGCCAGATCAACCTAGTGAGGGGCCTCAGTGGTCGCTTTTTGACAGTGATTCACATCTATTAAACAAGGCTTTCCCAACACATAGGTCTCTCATCAATAACCGTCAAAACAAATAAACAAAGCCGACCTGATCACAGGACGGAGGGGAAGAAGGCAGAGGAGGAAAAGATAACAGTCTTCTGAATCACTTGCTCTCTCTGCCCAGCAGAAGCCTGGAGAGCTCACCTGAGGACCTGCCTGTGATACAGAAATGCCAGGTAATCATTAGTGATGTTGTCACGGACTCACAGCTGAGGGCAGCTTCTCGCTTCAGAGGAGCTTGTCTTTTCTGGCAAAAGCAGAAGGAAAAAAAAAATCCAGATTCAGGCTTAAGTTTTATAGATAGGGCATCCTATATCTTCCTCACCGAATAAAATAACTTAAAAAAGTACCTCTGGTTTGAAACACTAAGCTAGTGTTTAAACACTAGTGTCCTTTTTAGTTAATGTCTGCTATCTCCCCAGGCCTTCAGCCTAAAGGGAATAGGCTGAAAACAAGCCCAGAGAAGCTGAATGAAAGCTGTACTTGCTTTATGACAGTAAGCAAGAACAGGAGAAAGGAATGTTAAAAAGCCATTGAAAATTATGTTTGAGATTTTTTTAACCATAAGAAAAATGTTTATGCTGGAGAAATGAAGAAAGAGCTGGCTGTGGATCCATCTGATCCCAGTTACATAATGAAAAAGAAAAATGCATGTGCACACAGAGGCACAAAGCTGGGAAAAAGAAACACCAACATGTTGAGGGCGGTTGTTTTGAGGCAGAGGGATTACAGGAAGTTCTGCTTCCTTAACTAGGCTGTTTCCTAAATTTTCTGCAGAATGCACATGATGAGGCAGCATGGCACTGAGAAGCACACCTGCTTTGGAGTCACAGAGCTGGAGCTGGTCCCCAGCTCTGCTAGGTGCTGGAGAGAGAGGCCTCAGAGGCTTTCTGCCTTCTTCTCTTTATTGGCGGAGGCTAAGGACAACCAAATGAGATCATGTACGTCAAATACCTGTCATGGTGGCTGACGGTGCGCAGTCAACAGTAATCAATGCATTATCTTTACAGACACGAGTTTTATTTTGTTGGTTTTCCAGCTCTTCAGTAGGGGCGCCTGGGTGGGTCAGTTGATTTGAGTGTCTGCTTCGCCTCGGGTTACTATTCGGGGGGGCCTGGGATCTGGCCTCGCATCGGAGTTGGGGCTCCCTGCTCAGTGGGGAGTCTGCTTTTCCTTCTGCCCCTCCCCCTGCTTGTCCTCCTTCACCCTCTCTCAAATAAATAAAATCTTAAAACAAAACTTCGGTAGAGGCTCTCATCTGCACACTCAGGTTCTTTGGATAGGAAATAAGGCTGGGACCATTACATTTCTCACCCATTAAATTTTGTCCTATCCCTGGGTACACTAAGATTCACCAGTCTTATCATTTGGGCTATGACCCTGTTCAGATTGGGTAACAACTTCAAGCTTCTGAAAGCTGCAAAAGAGAGGGCCCAAGCCATGAGCACAATGGTATGATCATTCGTTAACATGTAGAAAGCTCTTCATTTGGGGGTGGGGGACAGGGAGCCTCTTCTCAATGGAAAAACAGGAGGATGCATAGGCAAACTGTGACAAAGTAGCTCTAAGACTATCTCAAAACTTTCACTTCTCCCAGGAGACCTTGCAGAAGAGCTTTTGCAGCTTTTCTAGCTCCTTCTTATTCACCTCTTCTACCTGCCTAGAATCTACTAGTTCATCAAACAAATAAAATACATTATGAAGTCTTTAGATACTCAAAGTAACTGTAATGAAGGATTACACAAACTTCGACACAATCAAAAAAAGGCTGTATGTAATAGGAAAAAAAACCTGAATCAAAATACCCTTGGTTCTTTCTAGCTCTGATTCTACCTCATTTGGCCAAATGGCTTATCCTCTCTATGCCTCAGTTACTTTATCTGTAAATTGAGGATAATAGTACCTACCTCCTAGGGGTGCTAAAAGAATTGAAATATTTACACTTCTTCTATTTTGACCTCGTCAACACGACACTCTGATTAGGATTAGAGTGGGAAGATTTTAACAAGGAGTATTTGAAAGTAGATAGCATGTAACTGAGCTTTACTGTATCATCTAGACTTAAAAAACAAGCAAAAAAAAAAAAAATCCAAAAAGCTTACCATCCAGTTAGGGAAACAATGATATATGTGGAAAAATTAGGAACATAAGAGGTTGATGATAACCACGATTTTTTAAAAAGCAAAAAGGAAAATAAGTTGATTAAATATCCATTATGTGTCATGTCCCTTCTATATCATAAGCCAGCAACCATGTGAGATCATTTAGTTATATCCCATAGTCATTGTTAGACAATTAGAAAGGGGCAGAGCCAAGATTTTAATACTAAGAGACCAGACTCAGATGTTTGTCTACTTCTATATTCCCATGGTATCTGCTCAAAATCAGTCTTCCCTGGATGTGGTCAGTTTCCTGGATAATTATGAAAGAGTCCAGAGGGTATCGACCAAAGGTGAAGCATCATAAATCAAGAGGATTTTCCTCCTATGGTGGAAGAGCTGGGCAGCCAAGTTTAGTGACCACCACCATTCATTAAGGGCAGATCGTGTATCAAACACTGTACAGCTATTTAACTAACTTTGTCTTTTCAACAGCTCTTCCAGGTCTCGATGATCCAATTTTTAAATAGGCAACAGGACTCAGACTGTGAAGAATAACAGCTATCATTTATTGAAGGCTACAGCCTATCTAGGTGTATGGTATTATCAATCCTACCTTCCCACAGAGAAAATGAAATGTAGAGTGGACATGACTTTTTAGAGGTCACTAGACTCCCGAATTTGAAGCCACCTCTAAGGCCAAAGCAATTAGTTAAGGGATACCGAAAAGACCCAAGGGACTCCGTAGCTCACAGGGCAGCAAAGAAAAGCTGAGAATGCAAGGCTGCCGCTAGGGCTGTTAGAGTCCAATTACGACCAAGTTTTTCTTATTGAAATCATTTACATCAGCTGTCTCTACTGAGAGAGCTGAGTGTCAGACACTAAAACCTGTATTACACAACCTCCTCTATGAAACGAGCTAATTACTCCATTTTACAGAGCAAGAACGTGAACCCGGAGGGGTGAGGGAATTCACTCAAGGTCATATAGCGAGTGACTAGGACTCGAACTCCGGTTTGGGTAACTCTTGAGCCCAGCATCTTTCATCGGGAACAACAACCATGATAACAAATTTTTTTCACCCAGCAGTACTCTGTCTATACTTCCCAGAGATGAAAAAAGGGTGGAAACGGCTACGAAGAGATTCCCCCGCTCCCCCGCCCCTGGGAACACGAAAGCCAGTCCCCAACACCTGCCCTCCTACTTGGTGAGGCAGGGACCCGGCCGAAGGGCCACCTCCCCCAAAGCCCCCCCCCCCCCACAACACACCCGGAGAACCCACAACCTGTTCCCACTCGCTACCCGCAGGCCGTAGACCTTTATCCGCTCGAAGCCCCCTCGCTCGGGGTCGGGGCCGCAGCTACCGCCGCCTCAGCCCAATACCTTCCAGCTTAGCCAGACCCGGGGCGGCTGCCGAGGATCGACTGCCATCTTGCCCCGGGGTGTCCGCTCTCAGAGCTCCGCTGGGAAGCAACGATCCAGTTCCGGTAAACGACAGTTCCGTAGAGCTTCTGTACTCGGGAAGGACGACCTCTCTGCATCTTTCCCTCCTCCTTGGAAGGTGAAAAGAGGCGGACCATTCAAGAGCGGGTTAATACTTGATCCAGCCGAGATGCAATCCACTCCAGCCACAGAGACTGGAGGGAACGCAGCCGATGTGCAGACTCACGACGGACTCTTTAAGAAGGAACCCTCTGCGGGGCGGAAGCTGGCTGCGGCAGCGGAAGTTCCCGCCCCGGCTCCGCCTCTCCCCCCGGCTTGCGCTAGCTGGGTGTTTCCTGCCTCTCTCAGTCCGGTTTTGGAGACTCCTGCGTCCTCCGACTTTTCATGGTAGGGAGGGCGTTGCCTACCAACGGGGGCGCTCTGGGTGGCTGGGAGAGCCCGCAGAGGCAGAGTAGAGAAGGGGCCGAGGGTGGGGGGTGTTGCGGTGAGGGTCTGTCGCGAAAGGGGAGAGGTGGTTGGGGGATTGGGGGGGTCGAGGCCGGGGGTGGGGGAACGGTTTCGGTGGATAATTTGGGGGGTGGTCCTCGGCTGTTGAGGATCGGGAAAGAGCGTTTGGTCTTGGGGGTGTAGATTTGTGTGTGGGTGAGTTGGGGGGGTGTCTCTGAGTCGAGTGCTCATTGGAAATGGGATTGGTGATTGTGAAGAGAACAAAGAGGGGTCGTCGGAGATGGACATTGGGGTGGAGAGTGAGGATGGAGGGTGTTGCGAAAGAGAACGGTTAGGTTGTGACAGAGCGACGTGAGATTCCTTGGGGCGGAGCGTTTGGGGTTTTTTGGAAGTTGTGACTGCAAGTGTCTGGGTTTCAGGAAGGTGAAGAAAGGACTTCTAGGTGCTTCTAAACATAAGGGCGCGAGGCGGGGCTAGGGGGAGAAAGAGAGGGAGCTGGAGGGCAGCTGTGCATCCGGTTTCTAGAGGGATGCCAGGGGCTTGAAGTCAGGGTACCGTCACCACGGAATCCAGCGCCCTTAACTGGCGCCTTGGTACCTATCTAGTCACTTCCGTCGGAGCCTGAAGTGGCCACACCTAAGGAGCTGGGAATGGGTCATGCTGTCATCCAGCTGTGGGAAGCCTTCTGTTTGCTTGTGATCCTTTAAGGGTCTGTACATTAAATGGCCCTTTGGCCGTGGGTGGGAATGACCAAAGTTCCGCCTTGCTCTTTTACTTCTTTGCCTCGTGTCTTTCCTGGAAAACACAGTCTTTAGAGAAGATCAGTTTCAAGGACACTGTAGAGAAAACTTAGCCAACCTGTATCTGACTTTGCTCCATTTTATGCAAGATAAGGACCACCTGAGGAGAAGGATGCGTTAAACCAGTGTGGTTTTCAAACTGCTCCCCAGACCAGCAGTAGCAGCAGCATCACCTGGGAACTTGTTAGAAATGGCCAAATTTTCAAGCCCTCCCACTGATTACTTGATCAGTCTGCAGGTTGCCTCGATCTGTTTTAACACGCCCTGCGGGAGATCAATGATTTCTTGATTTGGGCTTTGTAATGAAAGGGGCCTGAGTCCCAAGGACCCTTGTAGTTCTGATTCTTTGGTTTTTCTCCCCTAAAAAGTGGGATTGAGGATTATGTCTTCTTCACTGGACCTCTGGGAGAAAGAGGCCAATAGCTTGCACAGAGGGAGAGAAAATAATTTAGCAGGACACTTGGAAATAGCAGTAGGTGCCCTATAAGCAAGTTTTGGGTGCAAAATAATACTATGGTTATGTGGCCAATGTGGTGCAGTTTGGTTGAAAGGTAACAGCAGACTTTCCTGAGTTGTAGAAATGCCTTTAGTTTGGGGAAGTTTTATAATTAGCAAAAAGGCCTTGGCTCTTTGATGAAGCTGCTTAAAGAAGCACCTTCACTCTGTGGCTTTTAGCTGGGGCTGCACCTTAGATCACCTGAAGAGTGTTTTTTTTTTTGTTAATTAAGAGAACAATTTGATTCATAATAGTATTTATTTGACAGAGATCACAAGTAGGCAGAGAGGCAGGCAGAGAGAGAGAGAGAAAAAGCAGGCTCCCTGCTGGGCAGAGAGCCCAATGCGGGGCTTGATCACAAGACCCTGGGATCATGACCTGAGCCAAAGGCAGCGGCTTTAACCCACTGAGCCACACAGGCGCCTCCCTGAAGAGCTTTTTAAATACTGCTGACCTGCCCTCCCCACCCCCAATTCTGATGAATTGGCCTATAAGCACCCAGGTGATTGTAATACAGCCTGGTCTGGGACCTCTGGTCTTAAGGAAGTTTGAGGTTCACTAAGGGCCAGGTGCCAAGTACTTTAACATTGATTCCCTGAAGGTTATTATGAAGATTATGGCTTTACGTTCATTTTACAAGAAAGGAAACTGAGATTCAGTTAAAACGCTTGTCTGAACCTTGCACAGGAAGTGGTGGAACTGAGACTACTCGAGGTTTCTCAGACTTTTGAACAAACCTTCCACATGCACATCTTCCCCCAACACACAAGAGAGACAGTTACACAGAGAGCTGTATGGAAAACGAGCAAGGGTGAAGGATTTGGTGCCTTCTTCTCCTATTGTACTTGCTCAAGCCTCTTTTCAGGTCAACACTTTTCCTCCTTGGCCTGATTTTTATTTTTTAAGCATGTATACAGTTGCTTCCTGTCTGTGGGTCTGAAGCTGTGAGATAGGGGCTGGGTTTTGTTCATGATACTTTGGTTTATTTTTACGTGCGGCCAGGAATTCACTGGGCATATAGAACAAGAGGTTGGGGACCTTCGCCCAGAGGATGAAATTAATAGGTGTATGGAACTACTTAGAGCGGTAGGTTGCAATCTTGGCTGCACACTGGAATCACCTAGGGAAGTTTAAAAAAATTCTGTTGCCCAGGCCGTATTCCCAGACCAGTTAACATCAGAATTTACACGGATAGGACCCTGATGTCAGTATTTTTTGTAAGGGGAGAGCTACTGTTGAGAATCTGCAACAGGATACTCAGGAGAGATCTAACTGGATTAAACTCTTCTGATTGAATGGAATTGGTAACCAGTACCAATTAATGCCGTGTTTGTTTTTTTTTTTACAAAAGATTTTATTTATTTATTTGACAGAGATCACAATTAGGCAGAGAGAGAGAGGGAAGCAGGCTCCCTGCTGAGCAGAGAGCCCAATGTGGGGCTTGATCCCAGGACCCTGGAATCATGACCTGAGCTGAAGGCAGAGGCTTTAACCCACTGAGCCACCCAGGTGCCCCCCCCACCCCGTGTTTGTTTCTTATAACCATTCTTGCTCTCCCCTGCCCCACCTCCCCAACCTCATTAATGATGAATTCAAATCTTTGAAACAAGTGAAAAAGGAGGATCCCAGTAGCAATGAGCTGGAAGAGGCTTATTTTCTGCGGCTTTGTGTCCTTACCTCGGTGTCTGTGCAGGCTCAGGGACACAAACAGAACCTTTTATCCAAGGGCCATTCCCGAATTGAGGTGACTGACGTTTGGAAGGGTGGCCTCTGGAAAGGTTCACAGCTTTCTTTGTCTGTTCTGGAGTCTCAGCCTAGATCCAGATGGTTTCTGCCTTTATCTCTTAGTGATTCAGGTGGGGTTCTGGTAGAGATGGAAATGGTCTTCAGAGAGAAGATAATTGGAGTCTTTGAGCGCATTCTCAAATAATCATAGTGTGAGTCTTTAGTGTTGCGGTATCTGCTCTGAGCCAGCGGCTGCGCTGAGCGCTTTGTAGCATCGTCCCCCACGGCCATCCTGGGAGGGAGACACTGCTGCTGTCCCTGTCTGATAGATGGGACAAGACTCCGATGACTCGCCCAGGCTCCCACAACTGGTCAACCAAATGGCAGGGCTGGGCGCTTAAATTCAGGTCTGACTTCTCAAAACCCAAGTCCTTAGGCACACATTGCCTCCCATCTTTTTTCAAGGCTTTTTTTGTACTTGATAAAGAAGGGAGGGTGGGGCACTCTCTCCTCAATGTATATGTTCCAGCACTTTATATTTCAAGCATGAATGTTGATAAAAATCATGGGCCCAAGGCCGGACGGGACTTGCCCACATCCTTGCTCTGTCACTGACCCACCTCTAGTACCAGGGCACTTTGGGAAGTGACTGAACTTCTCTGGGACGCGCCTGCTGTTCAAATCTACGTTGGAAATAACAGTAGCTGCATTCCAGCATTGTTTGGATTTTAAATGTTGTATGTGGTGGTAGAGATGAAAACTGGTACCTACTGGGTGGGGGCAGGAAGGGCGTTGGGGGGGACGTGGAGGGGCTTTTCTGGAACCATGAAAATGTTCTCTATTTTGATCTGAGTGGTGGCTGAACAGATACATATACTGACCAAAACTCCTCAAACCATGCACTTAAAATGTACTTTCCTATGTGCAAATAATCTTTCAAAAAGGTATTGGAAAGTAAAAGTACATTGAAGTATACTTTGATTTGTTTGTTTCTTAGGTGCGTTACAAAACACAAGACCATTTCCCAAAACACGTTATTTTTGTGTGAATTTAGATCGGAAAGGGTGCTTTAAAAAGTATTTCCATTTTGGAGCAATTTTCCCTAATGAAAAACCCCAAAACCCCACACCTGTAGGCCTTCACCCTCCCCCACCTCCCCTAAGTCTTCAGAGTTTTGAGACACTCTTTCTTGTCCCCAGTTACTTCTCTCTTCCCGTGGACAGAGTATTTCTGGGGGAAGTGTTGGTGATAACCTTTAGTGTAGGGTTTCTGGGGACTGATTTCAAAGGAAAGCTGGAAGGGAGGGGTCACTGCTTTCTCTTTATTTGTGGCATTAGGCCCTAGAGACACCAGGCGATAAAGCAAGAACACTTTCTTGAGAAAACACTTTTCTTTCCAGGAGCCCGTTCTTCCTGTGCTGCCTCCTCCAGGGCCCCTACTAGAGTCCCCCAGTGGGTGATATATGGGCCACTCTTGGGTGGATGGAGATTGAGACGGATGGCCCTTGCCTGTGCTATTACTGATCAGTGGATGCAGGTTGCCACTCATCATTAGTCCCTTCTCCCATTGAGAAACAGCAGTTGTGTTTTTCCTATTATAAATGTAATATATGTTAATTGTGAGAGATCCTGAAAAGATAGAAAGGCATAAAGAATCTAAAAAACAATCCTTTTTCGGGATCAGGGTATTGTTTTTTAAAGCTTTGTCCTGTCGTCAC